TTATATTACTTTATATTTTACAAATGAATTATTAGACAGTATAATAGAAAAAACAAACCATTATGGGAGCACAAAAATGAACAAATATACTGACTAATCAGTGGCATATTCTAAATGCGAGAGAAAGAAAAAGGGGTTGTATTGTCTGTTCTGACAGAAAAGCACCATAAGGAAAGGCGGCAAACAACATTTTATTGTAAAACATGTCAAAATCAACCAGCTATGTATTTTGGAAATTGTTTTAAACGTCACTATTCTTTAAAAAATGATCAAAAATGAATTAATATTATAAATGTATGTCCTTCAGTGACCAATGACAATTTTTATCAAACAAATTGCATAACATACACAATGAAATCAAGTTCACAGCCGGTACAGTAGATTGTTTTGAAATCGGTGCTGTCCCGATTCAAGTGTTAATAACTTAAGTTATTAAATTGTTTTTATTTTCTTATAAAAGTTAATAAAATTAAACTAACACAGATTTTACGAAAAAAAAGAAGTTTAGTAACATATAAAGTGTTAGTGTATATTCAATCGTACAAGTAAATAATTCTGTTTTTTTCTTAATTCTTAGCTATCATTTTAATATTTCGTTATATAATCCACTCATTTATTAACAAGAGCATATTTCTTGATAGATGTCATGAAGATGGAACGCACTTACAATTAGTTTCGAAACGTCGATAATAAATAAAAATCCTTTTAAAAACCTTATTGGTTTTTTATCGCCATTGGATTCTTTGTTCGATGCTTTACACAATATTTACAAATCTAAGACAATCTAATTAATACTAAAATCAATAATTTTGTAATATGAGTAGAACGAATTTTAAATGTTAAATATGAACAATACAATACCCAGATTTTTAGAATCTAATATATATATATATATATATATATATATATATATATAAGATTATATTTGTGCTTAGGGTGACAAAGTCAATCAAACACAATTGAGTTTCTCTGTCAGAAAAGATATATTTTATTGTTAGTTTTACACTAGATAAAGTTTTAAATACAAAACCTTACATACCTGTCAGAAAAGAAACGACATTCAATGTTATTAATCACAATGTCAGTTCCTAAACACATTTAGATCAATATCTACTATTTTAGAGATTATTTTACTTTTACGAAATTTTATTAATTACGCCCTGACGTATTTTAGGTTATCATTTGTTTTCCTATCCTAATATCATAGGAGCTCACGCGCAAGGTTGTATCTATGACGATCATAACGCGCAAAATTTAAACTAAAGAAAATTAGGTATTTTTCTTTACATATATAAAAACAAAAAGAAAAGGCAAAATTTTATATCTTTTTCCATAAAAATATCTAGTTTCCTATCTGTTACATCTTCAGATTTTAATGTCCAATCTCTCGTTTTTTTAAAAAAAAATGCTCTTTATGCAAACCAGTTATCAACTATGTACTGTTTGTGCACATCGGGAACTATTTGTGCAATGGAAAAATGGGAGGGGTGGACAACCATTGATTTTTTTTTCTAAAATAAAAATTGTGATTTATCCAGGAAATATAAATTAAAAATCAGTAAAAAAAACAAACACTGACTGAAGGCGTAGTGAAAAATTATTCGATTACTAAAATGGCTACTATAAAATAGGGATTTATGGAAGGAAGATGAAAATTTGGAGTTGTATGTATTTTTTAATTCCGCATTATGAGAATTTAAATTTAAAAAAATTGATCCTAAAATTTTAAAAAAAGTTTAGGGTGGACAACCTTTGTTAAAGATAAATAGTTTTTCAAAGTATCTATTCATCAATTTCAAATTATAGAAAATTTTAATGACGAAAATAGGTTATAAAATTAAAAAAAAATGTTGGGGGGGGGGGACAACCTTCAATAGAAATAAATAATATTTTGAATTAAAAAGAATTGATTATATGTATTTTGTTAATTCCGCATTGAAAAAAAAAATAAAATAAAGAAAATTATCCCTAAATTAAAAAAGTATTAGAATTGGTCAATCCATGATAAAAGTAAATACTATTTTAAAGTAAGATTTAAGCTTTTTCTTCAAGCTCAAAAATCTGAACTGAAATTATGTCAAAAATATTCAATGACTGAACGCGGGATGACAAATGATTGCATTACTAAAATGGTTATAACAAAATAGGGGTTGGTGATAATGAAGTTAACATTTAGGGTTGTATGTATTTTTAATGCCACATCATCAAAAAATAAAAACAAAGAAATTCGTCTAAAAATTAAAACAAAGAATTTAAAGGCGAGCAACCCTCATAATTGAGGGGTATGAAAAATATATAGTTACCGATTCTCAGGCGTACTGAATTCGCATACAAAATTTGGTAAGAATCGGTAAAGCCGGTTCGGAAGAGTACGGGAAGGAACTTTGTGACACGATATATATATATATATATATATAATATGTAAGATATTGTAAAATCAATTTATAACATTGAATTAATATGCGGAAAATGCAGATTTCCTAATAATAATCACCCAACCGGAGTCCTAACCGTTTGCCTGCTCTTTCGTCCTCTAACTGATATCGTGCAGTGTAGTTGTATACGTTTTATCTCAATGACAATTGCTGTCCGAATATGCACTGTGTACCTAGATATCGATGTATGACAACTACATTTATTTCACATATATAAAATGAATTATTAATTTTATTTATGCGTGTAGGTAATAAAATTTATACGTTTACGATAAAGCCGATGCTTTTATCTACAAATCATATGCGTCAAAAATTGATAAATTAAATTACTGCTAATAATCATTTTATAGCAATTGAACATGTTTACAATCTATTTTTATTTACAATTTTTCCGAGTTTTTTTCCATTTTTTTAAATGTTTAAAAAATCCTAATACTTTATCTACATAATTTTTCCAGATTTTTAAATTATTTAAAACTTTTCCAAATGTTTTTCTCAAATCTTCCAAAATTTAAATACTCTTTCGAAAAACTATAATTTAAATCACAAACTCTAACACAAATCACAAATGGTCAAACAAAACTTTTATATTTTGGTCTGGGTCAATGGCTATTTGTTTTCAATTTGTTTTTGATCAAAGCAATAAATTTCCTCTAATAAAAAGTTGTATTTATTTATAATGTACACAACACTACGAATGATATAAGACTGACGAGAACCCACTTAATAGATTACAATATTCTTATAAGTCTAATATAATATATTAATTTAGTTTGTTTCACCATACTACACATGGTATGTGTGTATGCATACGAATGTGTACCTGTAGTAGGTTCATAATTGTACTTCGTACTAACAAAACAAAAATTAGATGGACATAAATTAAAGGTAAACCATTAAAAAATCACTATTAATTATGAAAATAATTATTCAATGTCTTTCTATAGACAGATTGTAATTTATATTTGATTTGATTATACAAAAAAATTTAATACGTAATTTTATTGATATTTATTTATTTTTGAAAGATATTTGATATCGCATGTTAATAGCACGGAAGATATATATATATATATATATATATATATACAGGGCTGGTCCTGGGGTCCTTAGCGCCCTCATGCAACCCCCTATTAATTTCACCGTTTTAACAGTTTATCATTAAAATTATATAAATATTTACATATTTTTAAAAAATTAATTTTTAATTATTCTGGATTTAATATACAAAAAATTAGATATAATCTAGACGGGTATAAAATATATTGATTTTAAATTTATTTATTATTATCGATATCAATAAATAAAACAATCCCTGTCATAATTTAGTATGTTTTACATTTTAGTAATATTCAATATGTAGTAAATTGGTTAAGGATGTAAGTTCGACAACCATAGCAAAAGAATTAATATTTTTGTTAGATTAAAGTTAAAAAATTTAACTTTAATTTTACAAAAATGTTAAGTGAAATAAATAAATTAATTTTTAATTATTCTGGATTTAGTGCACAAAAAATTAGATATAATCTAAAAGCGTATAAAATATATTGATTTTAAATTTATTTAGAAAATCGAGGTGATTCGGGGGTTGATTATAATCAAATATTTTGAAATTTTCAATATTAATATTTAAAAAAACTAGCATTTAATTTTCAAACATAACATTCGTATTTCATGTTGGATTTTTTAAATTTTAATTTAATTTAATTTTTCATCATTTACAATATCCAAAATTGTGTCGTAAACTTCTCCTTATGAATATCGTAAGAGCCGTCATATTCAGAGTATCAGCTTGTTGTTTTAAAGTTAAATTTTTAACGTATTTTAGAAGTATAGTTCAAAAATTAGTAAAAAATGCAAAGAAATTACACATTTTTTAAAAACAATATTGAAAAAAAACTTATTATATTTGATATGTATTATTTTGGAATAGTTAATAATTATTAAATTTAGAGTATGGACACCACTAGGTATAAAACAAGCCTTAAGATTTTCGTTCCAAAGTAAATTTTGCTTCCATTTTTCATATTTGTTCCACGCATGTCTTCAACATTCAAAGTTCAACAGATGCGAAACATTAGCAACGAAAACAAAAGTTACAATTCAATTTTCGGAATAAACAAGTCATTTTCTAAGCACTGACTCTACATTTTTTATAATTTGTTTATAATTTTTAACAAGTTCCGATTCAACTAAATCAGCTCGCAATTTTTTGTCAATAATGGGATTGAACACAGATAATTTCTTTTTCGATATCGCGGTAACTTCAAACAAAGAAAAAATTGAATAAGTAGATTAAGCAATGAATGAAGCTGTTATTTACTAATTTGCAAAATTATTAATCGGTTAATCGTTTCTACTGATATCACATTGCAAAAGAATAAATTGATATATATTTCTTTTCCGAACAATAAATCCAATAAATAAAAAAAAGAGTCAGTTTGTCTTCATCGTATTGCCGTGCCCAATTGTTTTAAACTCATTGTCAGTAATAGACAGAACGCGACCCAGACCGTTAGCAAATTCTAATTAAAAAATTGATCCTGGGGCGTACAGAACACTAACCTGTTCAGACGATTTAGATAGCACGTTGGCTTCACCGTCAAATATGTAACATCTCACAGATGTCGTTCCTACATCCAAGGATGCGATATATTTAACGCTCATTTTGGACTTGATCACAGGTTCGCATTCGCTTCGAATAATGAAAAATGTTCATTGGCGTTATATTATGATTTGTATCGAATGCGTATCATTTCCACGTGCTGCAGTTTCGAAAACGCACATAACAAAACATGAGCCGAAATAACAAACCGAACGAACACGTTTACTTTACAACTGGCTTTGCCCGAATGCGACTGGTTCCGAATGTATCCATGTTATCGTTGCATGCCGCGCATGCGTCACGAACGCAACGCGGACAAGACGACGGACGACGGACGGCGGACGGCATCAGTACATTTTCTGATTACAAGGATTTTAACTAACTGACTAACGACGGAACGGCGGAACGGCTACCGATTCGCGGATCGGGGTCGAGATCGGGATCGGATCGTGAGTCGCCTTCGCCTGTACGTTGTTCGACACTTATGCACATAGAATATCAGTATGCATTTCTACTTCGTTTCTTCTCGATTTAGATCTAAACCAGTGATTTCCAAAGTGGTCCACATCCCAGGGGTCCATGGCAACTTTCAAGGGGTCCACGGCGGCAAAAACAAAATTTGGGGGTCCGCGAAATGAAAATGGGGGTCCACGACAGTGAATTACAATACACCATGTTAAAATCTATTTATTTACGTTGAACGATAATATAATACACCTAAGTCTGTTTTTACACGGTCTTTTTGTACACGGTTTTGATATAACACGGGGTTTGAAAATTGAATATTTTTAATTTTTTTACACGATTTTATTCCATTTAGCACGATTTGAAATTTTATGTACTTAAATTTTTTTGTCAAATTTAATTTTTGCGAAGTATGTTCATATCACAAAAAAGTACTTATGAAAGAAAAAAGTCTGAAACCATCGATAGTATCGATAGTTTGCGAACACCAGCTTAAAGATTTAAGCGAATTCCCCTTTAGCGCGTACAAACAATTTTTACTGATCAAAGCAAATGTGAATAGCACTAATTTAGGGGAATTATTATTAAAATAAACATGAATTCTTGTTCTTGAAAATTCTTGTTTTTCACTAATTTTAATAGGTTTTAGAGAGTAGGAACGAATCACCCATTTTTGTATAAGATCAATGTCTTTTTTTACACGTTTTTTTTTTACACGGCTTCTTCTGGAACCAATCTCCGTGTAAAAACAGACTTAGGTGTATATAGATTTACAATAAATCTTTTAATATAGTTGGCAATATTTAGAAAAGATTCAAAAAGTAAAGAAAAAATTACATATTTATATAAAGTGTGTAAGTTGTAGGTAGCATGTAAGCATTCGAGTTGTGGTTAAACTATACGCTGGCTGTTGAAAAGCTTAATTTTGGTAAGATTTTTGCCCTTAGAATTTATAAATACCAAATATAGAGGCTTAAATGGCAATTTAACGAAGTGTGCTATAGATACCTCTTATTTGGATTCGGCAAACAAAATTTTATTTGAATTTTAGTCCCTTCAGCAACGAATTTGGACTCAAGTGTTTTGAACTAAACTTTTAAACATTTAAATTACACAGGTTCACAATAGTATCACAAATAACAAATATATGTTATGTAGTAAAAAGATACGATTTAAAAATACAATAAAAAACAGTTTGTTCAAAAATATATTTTCAAATTACAATTGCGGACTATTAGTAAGATTTCCAACTCGATTATACAACTTGAAAGAATTACTATTGGCTTGTTTGTTTTCTTTTTTTAAATTTTATGAAATTAAATTCGCCTTTGGAATTTTGTATTCAGCAATTTTCTCATTCATAACGTCTTATAAGAGATAAAAAACACATTGATTCACATAATTAATTTGATAAGTAATTTAATTTTAATTAAGAAAAAACAAATTTTAATTAGGATTTAAACCTATACTTTTAAAAAATCCGGGACAAACATTGATTTTGAAAAAACCCGGATCAAAAGATGAAAACTCGGAACTATCCCGGATAAACCATAATATAGGGGGTCCATGACAAAACAAAAAATATCGCAAGGGGTCCACGGCACAAACAAATTTGAGAACCTATGATCTAAACCAGGGCTTCTTAAACTCTTTTATATAGCGACCCCCTTCAAACTTAGGAAATTTTAAACGACCCCCTCCTCCAAATAATAAAATATATATTAACCGTTATCGCACTATTTTACAATGTAAATAAAATAAGGATTGAAGAATATGTACCCATTCATGTTATATATAATTGGAAACGTTGACATAAAACTATATATATATATATATATATATATATATATATATATTCAATAGAAAAAATAAACTTTTGTAACAAATTCTTTATAAGAAAATATCAAACTATATCTACATATTCAATAGAAAAAATAAAATTTTGTAACATTTTTTTAATGAAAACCTATTATTAACATCAAACAATATTAATGTGATGAATGTGATTGTTTATTTCACACAAATAATTAAATTTAGGCTCAATTTAAGTTAGTGCAGATCGTAATAAATTTCAACGTATATTAAAGTTGAACGGTATTTGATTTTATGTAAGTAATGTAGAAGAGGCTGATTCACATAAATATGTTGCACAAAATGACAGTAATTTGTTTATTGCCATTTCCGATAGTAGGGAATATTCTGATTTGATTTCAATCTAAAATTCATGCACAGACACTTGAAAAAATCTGAGTCGCAAGGTAGTATCACTTGTTAATTCGGTAAATTCTTTTTGTGCTTTTAAGTTTGAAAAAATAATTTCGTCCATTTCAATTGAAAATGGATTGCAAATCCATTGTTGTGTATCGATATCATTGAGAAAATACCTATGCATGTAAACTTCCATATTCTTCAAATGATTAACTATAATTTTTGTTGTAGGAGTATCCTTTTTTGAAATATTGTTACTAATACTCGTCAGTAAATAGAAACATTTCGAGCGATCCACTTTCAACTCTGTTTTTCCATATAAGAATTATTTTAACAAAGGCCTCAAGTTTATTTTTTAACATAAACATATTAACGCAGACTCCCTGCATTGATAAATTCATATCATTGATTTTATCAAAAAATATTGGCCAAATAGCATAGCTTGAGAAGCCATAAATTATCGTGAAAATAGTCGGCCCAATAATACTAATTTTAAAATTTTGTTTATAATGATTGAAAAGTATCAGATCTATGCGACCCCTCTTCAGCAGTCCCGCGACCCCCATGGGGGTCGCGACCCCCACTTTAAGAAGCCCTGATCTAAACTATATCTTATCCACTTATACATATCTTATTCACTTCATTTTTTATTCATCGGTTGTATCTACTAGTTAATAGTTTAATAATAACAGTTTAATCAATCAATTAAATGTTAGAATACAAATAATTATTCAAAATAATTGTAAAACTAGTGGTGTGTGGCATCGTGCCTTAAAGCAAATTGCTGGAACTTTCCGTACCGTAACAAAATGTTCGAGGAATATTGAATGTTTTCAAATAGATTATTATATATATTGTGATATTGTCTAATATTTATAAGAATTATATAAACTGAGTTGCAAGGTTGAAATTATTTGTTCAAAAAGTATTTATATTAGAACTTTAGTCAGAATTAAAATTAAAATCTGAATTTTTTTCGATATAAAATTTTTTTAAAAAAAAAAAATAAAAAAATGAAATGAAATGAAATTGAAATGAATTTTTTTTCAAAAGCAATTACTTTGTTAAATCAAGCGGGAAGTTCTTTGAATCATTCAATTAGGACGCTTAGTTTTCTCAAAACTGCCATTTTTTGCACATTTAGCTCTGTATCTTCGAAATGATTGGACCTGGCTTTTCCAAAAACTAATCACCTCTTCTCTCAATCATTACAAATTGGATGTTTTTTAGATCATTCAAATCGGTACTCCGTTCTCTCAAAAGTTAGATTTGTATTTTCTGCACTCTTTGCTCCGTATCTCAGTAACGATTGAACCTGTCTTTGCCAAAAACTAATCAGCACATCTCCCTATCAATAGGAATCGAATATTTTTTGAACCATTTAAATCGGTTGATCCGTGCGCCCGAACACGTGGACGAAAAAATTCGGACATACAAAACACACACATATCCATATTTCCTGAGGCATACCAAAATGTTCAGAAACCTTCAAAACGTGGAGAAATGCAAATATTTTCGTTTTAGATTTTCGGCCCATTACTATAACTACCCTACGGGAAGTTAACTAGTGGTGTATGGCATCGTGCCTTAAGGCAAATTGCTGGTACTCCCGTACCAAAATTTTGTAAAAAAGATCATTTTTTTAAACTCAAAAAAAATTCTAATTTTTAAACTTTTTTCAAAACAATCGGATAAACTATGTTACGAAACCTATAGAAATGTAAACAAAAGTGCTTATCATTAAAATCTCTATAAAATATGTGATAATTTGATGTGCATATGTCTAATGATCATTTTTAATATTTTTTAGCGCCAAGTTGTATTTTTTTAACTTTTTTTTTAAATACATAAAAAAATCATTGTCGCAATTTTTTGCAATTACTTTTTCAAGGGAGAAAGTGTTTTAATGAGAATGTTTTACATATGATATGCATAACATGCTGATTCGTATCAGTTAGGTATTTAACTAATATAATTGAATTATAAGTTAAGCAGGACTTGCTCAACTTCTCCCATTGTTAAAGTTTTTGCATACCAATATAATTGTTTCCTACAAAATAGTACAATACAATGAAATACTGTATTCTATGATAATGAAATTTCAGTGGCATACATTCCAATAAATAACAATAAAGCGGAATCGCATTTCAATTCTAATTGAAATGTCAACAGCCATAACATTTGGAATCTACTATTAGATTCAAATAAGGAACATGGTTTAACCCTTTCCACTCGCGAATTCCGGAATTCATATGTATTTTGCCGGCGGCATCCGAGTCGAAAGGGTTAATTTCGTATTTTGTCTTTAAAGTTCCATTTTAAAAGCTAAAAAAAAACAAATTTATAGTTGATTTTTTCCGCATAGAAGTTGCAGTATAACATGCTAGAGTATTTGCATTTAGTTATTATTAAACAATTCCAAGAATAAACTAAAAGTTAAATAAATTAAATAAATTGAAAGTTGTTCAGTTTATTTAAAGACATATTGAACCAATGAACAATAATAATATCATATATCAACCATCTGATGAAATATGACAATAAGTAATTTTGTCAATGATACAGTACAATTATTCAGTACAATTATTTATTACAATAAGTTTCATTATCAATAAATATGTTTATATATATATATATATATATATATATATATATATATATATGTAGATATGATTGTATATATATTTTGCAAAATATGTTCTTTATTTAACGGTACAAAAGCTACAGATATTACAAAATATGATTGCCACCCACAGCAATCTTTAATTTGTAACATATTTGTAAACAAGAGACAATATCAATTATGCTAATTCAGGATATTATGTTTGGTGTATTGTACCTTTTATTTACAGTTTTTTAGCAAACTGAAGTGAAATGGCATATCAGTGAACGTTGTGCTTTTAGCACTTAAATTTGTTCTTAATATATATTTTAATGTTATATCGGGCACAATATGGAATAAATATAACGTTTCTGCTAACTAGTAAAAAAACTAATAAAGCTATAATTAAATAAACTTTCTTCACTTCAAATTATATATAATTAAGCTTGCTTCAAAAGTTCAAATGTATGTCTTTTTCAATTAATGTCGAAACTTTATCAATTTCATCGTATGTGAGGTCTAACATCTGTATTTTAAAAATGTGCTAATTTAAGCCTTAATTCGAGTTACTAGCTGTTCGAATCAAAAATATATGCGTCACTGGATCAACTGGCTTTCGAAAACCGATTGAATCTATGCGAACGGTTTCTGATAAAATTAACCAAATGGCAAGCAATAAAACATATTATCAGTAGCCTATTCGCATGAAAAATCGTTGTGTTTCGTTTTTATTTTATATTGCTCCAAACTTAAATCAATTTTTTCCGGAACATGTTAAATTGGCACATTCACTAATACTTGAATGCATGAATAATGTTAGGTTTTGATAGTTGTTTGATCATAAATAATTAAAACTATTACATTTTCGACGTCAATTTATTTCAATTAATACGGTCATTATGTAAATAAAATCATATTATTATATTCGCGCATTGCCCAGGGTCACAAACAAAATATTACTATTTTGAAACTTAAACCAAAAAAATTTAAAATGATCTCCTGAAATGATCAACTACAAATATGAAGTTTGTCGGTCATTTAAATTGTTCTAACTTGTTTAGCCATATACTTAAGTCAAAAGTAATAAATCGTCAATTGACTATTTACGTTATCACTTAATTAAATCAACATAATTAGCGGATCATAATGTTCTATAATGCACTATACAGTAAGTATTAAAGAATATATTTGTACATATTAAATCTCACAAGATCTAAATTTCATTGGAATTTTCTTCCGCATAAATCTTTTCGCATCATAAAAACGTTAAAACCGGATACAGAGTTAGTTATTTGGTGTCAATCACATAATTCAAAATCACATCATCACTTGTCCGTAAACTTGATATAGTTTACTGATATAAATACACAATATTAAGTATAATGCTCTTAAAAACTAAAAATAAATAATACTAATAATATATGAACATATTGTCTGACTAGTTCTTCAATGAACGAATCTTTCGATTGAAAGATACCAAGTTTCGTAATTTGCAAATGACCTGAAAAGAAATAAAATATGCAAATTTATATTTTCATAAAAACTTAAGTTAGAGAAACAATCGAGTTTCAAAACCATGCTACCTTCTTGTTATGATAATTTTTATTAAATATGTATTCATATTTTTTAAGTTAAGTCCATAATCCTTGAAATTAATCAAACATGTATGCAATGAATAGAAATAATAAATAAAAATTGCAAAAATATCGAATCAATTCATTTCTCTTTATGCGCCTGAAATAGTCTTGTAATAGTTATCGCATGGCAGGTAAGTCGGGATATTTGTGGATGAAGCCATTAAACGATACTTTGAAATATATATTTTAGTGGTTTAAACTTATCGTAAGTCATTACTTATTACGTCACTCAATGAGTCCGTAGGATAACACATAGAAAGCAACAAATTTAAGAAGATATATGTCAAAATTTCAAGACAATCCGACGGTTAGTTTACAAGTTACACAGATTCAAGTGACGCGCTTTTGAGTTTTTTGAAACCATTAATCCAAAGCAAATTCGTGTGTTGATATATCATTGCATTTTGATGGATAAAAATACAATCACCGCCAAAGTATCGCTTGATAAGTATTATTTGGACTCTGCCAAATCAAGGCAAAGGGTGGTATTCTGATGGTTCTAATGGTTTTAATCGTGGCTATACGGGCACTGACTATGCCTAAGGCTCTGGAAGGCCAATTGTGGTGGTTGCACTGGAAAATATCAAAAAAGTCCATTGAAACGTTTTGGAAAACCAAGTGAAATTGCCTGAGATAGCTGACACCGTAAAGATATCAATAGAACGTGTTGGACATATCGTTCACGAATATTTGAATAGGATCTCTGTGCTAAATGGATGCCGCACGAACTTACATTTGACCAAAAACATAACGAGTTGGTGATTTGTAAGAGTATTTGGATTTGTTTAATCGAAATAAAACTGAGTTTTCGCATCAATATGTCACCATGGATATGACCTAGCTTCACCACTACACTCCGGTGTCGAATAGTCAGTCAGCCGAGTGGACTAGACACGATGACGAGAAAAAATGCAAACAATCAGCTATGGCGTCAGTTTTTTGGGATTCGCAAGTAATGATCTTCATCAACTATCTTGAGAAAGGCCACACCAATAACAGTGACTATTGTATAATGTTATAGAAACAACTGAATATCGAAATCGGAAAAACGGCTCCATTTGAAAAAGAAAATCGTGCTGTTTCATTAGTTGCACCAAATCACAAAACCGGGAAAATAGTGTCAGAAAAAAATATAAAATGGGCTTCGAATTGCTTCCCCACTCACTATATTCTTTAGATCTGTTCCCCAGCGACCATATTCTTTTCTCAGATCTTAAAAGGACGTTCGCCCTGAAGAAATTTTTGACAAATTTTGAGATGAGTTTTATGGTAAAGTACAAATCTTACTACAAAAATGGTTTCGAAAAATTCGAAGTTCACTATGATCGGTACAACGTGTTTGAAGAAAACTATATTGAATAAAAAAAGAATTTTCAAAAAAAATGTGTTTTAAATAGTTATCCTACGGACTTATTGAGTGAGGTGATATTTGGTTACACTCTCTAAATGCTTAGGCTTAAAAAATATCCTCAAGTAATATTTTAAAATGCACCCATGTTCAAATTGAGTCGTGAGTATAAGTTGCATGTAAAGATAGAGCATTGGTCCAGTGTTACAAAAATTTAAAATTTAAAAATAAAATAATCAAAATAAACATTGGAGAAACAAACCCAATAACATTTAATTAAAACAAAATATCAGCGAACGTTGCGTTTTTAGTACTTAAATTTTATTTGAATATGAATATATTTGTGATGTAATGCTGGACATAATACCAAGTATTTAATTAAAACAAAATACAATATTCAAATAATTTATGAAAACAAAATTAAAGTTAATCATTCTCTGAAAACGCCATAAAGGCTCTTATCATAATTCGGCATTCTATCAATCTATCAATCAAACACAACATTAATACAATATTTGTTAGGTGCTTAAATTTTGTTTTTCGGAAAAGTCTATTTTTCAGTACTAAATTACATCACCGGTTCCTATATTAGTTTTTCTTTAGAAAGTCCTTTGCAAGATTAATAATTAATTTTTTAGTCTCCTCCATTAGAAAAAAATAAAGGTATGAACACAAAACAACATTGCTTCCAGAATCTAACGACGCACAATTAAAATTAATACCTACTATTTAGCAATGTTAGTTTGAAAATAAATACAAAATAAAACGACGCAGGAGGTATAAATGCATTAGAGAAAAAAGTCAGACAAATCACTTTAATATTATTCTAACATAAGTGATTCTTAATCACTAATTAATCGGCACGATTATGGTCAATGCTCATGCATTATCTATTGAAATAAGAGGTTATTTTGAATAGATATTGTATCCATGCACATAAATGTATTCATTCGTTCCATATAAACACACATCAGCATTCCACATAAATTCACATCGAAAAGCAGATATTTTTAATAATGTGTTATGAAATTAAGAGCTTCCTAAAATTGTCATGTAGCAATATTTGTTTAATGTTGGTAAGGCTTAATTTAATCTTTGTGTAAATCAAAATTTTTAATAATTCACATGTAACCAGTATAATGATTAATAATATTTATAGAAATAGCCGGAACTATAAACAGTGTCGGTATGTGATTAAATTCATAATAAAGTTTCAAAATAATTTAAAGTTAATCAATATGTAACATAAGTTAGAAGTTATCTGCCAACTGTTGCGTTTGATATTTTTAATTTTCAGACTTGAAGAGGTATTAGCATTAATTTTTATCATTCATGAGAAATTTATATATATATACATATAACTTACATTGAAAATCTCTTTGTATTAAAATTATTAATTGCTCTTCTTAGCATCCTTTGTCTCCTCTTTGTTTTGACCTCTTCCCAATAGTTTTGCGAGAGAATCCCAAATACCACCAAAGAACAAAGCACTAAATAAGTTTTCGAAAGGCACAAATGGATCATGAATACCCAATAAAATTGAAGACAACTGAAATATAAATATAATCGTCTTAGAAACAGCACAATATATATATATATATATATATATATATATATATATATATATATTATGGATCAAATAAATCTTACTTTGAAGTAGACGAAAAATATAACAATTCCAAAGTATACCAGCGCATGCGGAGCTGATATTAAATCAGTCTTTTTATCCAAAACAAAGATGATTGATGCAACCAATGAAGCTTTGGTGTAGCTAAAATGAATAAAAGTTAGCCATTAACTCGAAATATAAAATAAATAATTTGTCATAAATTCATAGCCAGCACAATACATACAAAGATGGCTGCATGAATTCCACGCTCGTTGGAGTCCAGGCTCCTCTTATTAAACGCTCCATGAGCTTTGTGAAGCCTGCTCCATTACCCTTCAACGTGCCGATAATAATCATGATAATATACGCATTGGGATAAAGTTTAGCTGCATGTGTTACTCCATCGTAAACTTTTTTACAACGATATATCTCCTTCATAGCTGACGCTATTATTTTCACTGGGAGAAATTTTGCAACTTTGTAACCTACGTCAAATGGAGTATAGAACACAACGTACCTAAACAAATAACATAAGGTTGTTGAACAAGATACTCGACTCATATACTAATACATTTATTATTGCATAAGGTTTTCTATAAAATATCGTATGTGATAGATATAATTTCGCACGCGACTGGTACTTCGAGATTTTGAAGATAATAGCTCAATAATAATTTAAAAAATATAAATTTGTATTACACCGCGGTAATACAATTGTAAATCAACAATATCTCAATAAAGTTAGTGGCGTCAAAGAGCAATTTTTTTTTAAATCGATAAAATTTCAACTTTCCTGCTATTCCTCACACAGGTTTTACAAATCGTTAATCGGTTTACATTTATAAAAGAATGGTACTTAATTAACTAATAACACACAAATTGGATTAATCAGATTTACCAACCAGACAGCTGTTGCAACTAAGAGTTGCGGTGTGCTCTTCAATGGTGCTAAAATAGGTTCACCTAGAAGACCATTGCAAAGCATTCCGCCGGCAAAAACCACAAGCATAGTCGATAGCCAACAGGCTAGAGGATGTTTGCGTGAAAAAGCTTGAGCACCTGAAAAATAATAAAAATATTATACACATTATTCATTTAGTTTACGAAAAGTAAACGAAAAATAGGCCATTGCACTAACAGTAGCTAAATACGGTTATCAATTTTTGTGTTTGAAAAAGTTCATTCAAATCTCAATTAATTCCAATAGTAAAACACGATTAAATCACTTTTCAAACACTATATGGAAGACTGGGAATGGTTGTGCCTTTTTTTGGTCAGCAATAAATTTGTTTATTAACCAGTTAGCTGGGAGGAAAGTAAATTAACACTTTCATTTGTTAACTTCTTAAAATCGATTTTTTTTACATTTCTTCACGTTTTGAAGGTTTCTGAACATTTTGGCATACCTCAGAAAAAATGGATGTGTGCGTGTGTGTTTTGTGTGTCCGCATTTTTTTGTTCACGTTTTCGGGCGCACGGTTCAACCGATTTCAATGGCTCAAAAAACATTCGATTCCTATTGATAGGGAGATGTGCTGATTAATTTTTGGCAAACGCAGGTCTCCGAAATAGAAAACCGATAATTGAAATCGAAAATCATTCGGATTTATAATAATTTGTTTGAAAACATTTAATATTCCTCGAACATTTCGTTACGGTAGGGGAAGTTCCAGTAATTTGCCTCAAGGCATGATGTCATACACCGCTAGTTTAATTTTTATTCCAAAAGACCAAGACCCACAACCACATTCAAAACCGTATTCAACGCACACTTTTGATAACAAATTATCGTTGTGACTGAGCTAAATTACCTAGACAAAAACTAATTTACTAATAAGCTACTAATGTTAAACTTACAGTAAAATAGCAATCAAAGTGATATGTCTGTATACAAGGAACAGTTAATAAACTCTCTAAGAGCAATGCGGTCTACGGTCTACAGATAATGTTAATGTGGTTCGCTAAATCAATACAATAACGAAAACTTGTTCAAATAAACATACTTCATCTTTCTCCCTTTAGGCCCTATCTCAAAACCAGTATAGTTGCACAAGGCACATAGCACAAACAATAATAATATGCTTAATAAAATATCAGAGATGCAAAAAATATTTTAGCAATATAAACCATTTTTACTAAATTTTGGCCTTTATGCAATTTAAAATTCTTATAAAACTGATGAAAGTGAATTAAAGTATTATACAATTGAAATAGCACAATTGAACTAGAACGTAACTAAAGTAGAAAGTAATGTGCAACGATTCAGAACAATTGACTAATTGTAATATTCTCTAATCGAAATAGGATCATCAAAATCAGGTATTAAAAAATTAAAATACTTATAATTAGTATTGATTTAGCCTATCCATAAAATACTTTGTTTAATTTTAAAAAAAAGAAAAGTGCAAATTAATATATAGAATTGAACAAATAAAAAACGAAAACAGATACAGCAATGTTAATAAATAAGTAAATACGACATAAAGCAAAACGAAAATTTTCATCTAGAATAAATAAGAACAAATAAAACCAGACGGACACTATATGGAGTGCTATGAGATTATACAATGGGCTCCCGAAAGGGGTCATGATGACCGAAGAAGAGTACATACTTCAATGATAAGATAAAAAAATTATAACTAGCTGTAAGTGGAATTCTGTCTTAAGGCAATTAAGGCATCGTGCCTTAAGGCAAATTGCTGGTACTTCCCGTACCAAAAATTATTATTTTTTTAAAAACAATCAACTTTTTTGAAAAAAATTTACTTCGAAAAAATAAGATTTTTGACAAACAATTAGACAAAAAATTACTTTTTTTTGAAAAAAAAATGTTTTCTTTATTTTGACATATTTTGAAAGATCTAAACTTTTTTTCAAAGCAATCGTACTGCTTTAACTGCATAAAGACAAAATATCAAACCGCGTAAGCGCCGCGTCGACGTCTAACGCATAAACATTGGTACGGAACCCATAGGAATGTAAACCAAAATTATACTTATTGTTAAAATCTCTATAAAATATCTGATAGCTTGATGTGCATATGTCTAATGATCATTTTTGACCGCCAAATGGCATTTTTTTTACTTTTTTCATTAGATCTCCGAAACCGCTAGACCTGCCTTTATGAAAATTTGATCGGTTCTTCACCTTGTCAATACAAGTAAAATGTTTTTTGAATTATTAAAATCGGACGCTCCGTTCTCTTAAAAACTGAGTTACCGTTTTCGGCACTTTTTGCCCCGTATCTTCGGAACGGCTAGACCTGACTTCGCCAAAAACTAATCAGCACGTCTCCTTATCTATACGAATCGAATGCTTTTTGAATTATTCAAATCGGTTGATCGGTGTTCCCGAAATAGTCGACGAAAATTTGTATCCGCACATACATACCCACACGCACATACACACACACACACACACACACACACACATATATCCATTTTTTCTAAGGTATGCCAAAATATTCAGAAACCTTTGAAACGTCGAGAAATGCAAAAATTTTCATTTTCGATTTTTTTGCGATTACTATAACTTGCCCTAGGGGAAGTTAAAAAAAAAACTAGTTGTGCATGCCATCGTGCCTTAAGGCAAATTGCTGAAACTTCCCGTACCAAAAATTAAATTTTTAAAAAAAGATTAAATATGTTTTAAACTTTGAAAAAAATAGATTTTTGAGAAATTTTTAATTTTTGGAAAAAAAACTACTTTTTTGGAAAAAATCTTTTGAAAAAAATGTTTTTTTTTAGTTTGAAATATTTTAGAAATTTTGAACTTTTTTTCAAAGCAACGCACTGCTTTAGTTGCATAAAGGCGCAATATCGAAGCGCGTAAGCGTTGCGTCGTCGTCTAACGGACAAATGATGTTACGAAACCCATAAAAATGTAAACAAAATTGATACACATTTGATAATTTGATGTGCATATGTGTAATGATAATATTTGACCTCAGAATGGCATTTTTTTACTTTTTTTAATAGATCTCCGAAACCACTAGACCCCCCTTCTAGAAAATGTAATCAATTCTTCATCTTATCAACATAAGTAAAATGTTTTTTGAATTGTTAAAATCGGACGTTCCGTTCTCATAAAAACTGAGTTACGGTTTTTGGCATTTTTTGCCCCCTATCTTCGAAACGGCTAGATCTGCCTATGTCAAAAACTAATCAGCACGTCTCCTTATCAATAGGAATCGAATGTTTTTTGAATAATTGAAATCGGTTGAACCGTGTTCCCAAAATCGTCGACGAAAATTTGTATCCGCGTACAAACTGTAAAAACAGTTAAAAAAATAGAAGAAAGGGGGCGCCAAGAGAAAAATGGCATGCGGGCGCCTAGAAACCGCTCCTGTATATGTATACGAGGTCTGTTCAAAAAGTTTTCGTAATTTTCGTTTTTTCAAAAAAATATTTATTTATTCGTCTACATTAATGTGGTCCCCTTCAAAGTAGTCCCCCCCAGATATAATACACTTATGCCAGCGTTTTTTCCAATTTTCGAAGCACCCTTGATATTCACTTTTTGATATGTCCTTGAGCACTCTCGGCGATTTTCTTCAATCGAGGAAAACCGCCGTCCTTTCATGGGTCTCTTCAACTTTGGGAATAGGAAAAAGTCACACGGAGCCATATCTGGTGAATTTTTGCACTTTGCAACACTTTATTTCATTTTTTACGCAAAATTTAATACAAATTCTTTGACTTTTTCAATTCTTCCATTGTAAAAATCGCCGAGCTCAGAAAAACACGTCGAACTTTAGCGACTACCACAGACAAAGTAAACAGTGAATATAGCTGAAAATTTCATCATACTTTAGGGGCATGTATACCAACACAATAAAAAAAAAATTTTGACAATCAGACACTCCAGACCCGCGAAATTTAATTATTAGTAATTCCGGGTACTTTTTGAACAGACCATGTATATATATACATATATTCATATATACATATATATATATATATATATATATATATAATTATATATATATATATATATATTAAATAAATTAAATAATAATATATAAATTAAATTCTTCTATATGAAATTATATATTTTTTGAAATATAAATTTTACCATTTATATTTCAAAAAATATATAATTTCACATAGAAGAATTTAATTTATATATTATTATTTAATTGATTTAATATATATATATATATATATATATATATACATACTCATTTTTATAAATAAAAATATTAAAAAATATCTTTGATTGAATACATGCATTAAAAAATGTTAATTAATATTTAGTTATATTAAAATGAATGATTAATTGTAAATGTATTAAAACGCATGTTACATATATAACTTTTTGTATAACGTATATATGCATAAAAATAACTCCGTCCTGGGGATTCTATATAGAGATGGTTATGTAGATTACTATTACACTACAAACAAAATTGTACACACGCGAGATTACGAAACATTCTTTATATGATTAATATATAATTGGATTTAGAATAATCAATCGAATAGATAAAACCTGGACGGAGGGATAATGCATCTAGATTGAAATTTCATACTCATGCCCGGAATTTGATGGAATATAATAAATAATAATAATGATGAATAATACTACAATAGGTAATATGCCATATTACTTTTTATATACTGAAAATATAATTTAAAATCATATTCACTTCAATCCTAGTCGAAAAGTTAATTTCCATTGACAAAAACCAAAAACGGTTGGATGCAAATTATTTAAACTGAAATTTATAATTTTCAGACATTGCATATAAACATTGAGTTATTGAGAATCGATTATATTTGAATAATATCATATGTATCGAATTGAATATTTACCAGCTCCTAAATCCTCTCTTACCGACAATGCACATAACAAACAATGCGCAATGTCAAAGTAGGGAAACATTTTTAGCTTAATCACTTGATTAGCTATATCCAAGAAGGTTTCGGGATCCATGGTGAAATCCCTTATTTCGATGACAATTAAAATAAATTCGTTAAACTATAACTAAATTAAATCTAAAACTGCGTGAAGGCCGCACACGCCGCGCGGGCTCAGAATCTACTACTAACAAGTCACAAGTCACAACTCACAACTGTCTACTGTATTCTGTCTATGTGTATTCTCGAATTGTAACATGGCAACGCGAGCGCGGCGACCGCGGCGGCCGCGGCGAACACTGGCGAACACTGGCGTACACGACGCGCAACGCGCAACATGCACATCAACGATCTTGCGGACGCATGCGGACAATACACTGAACTGAACCCGCTTTCCAACCTGTGGGGTTGATCTTTGCAAAGGCAGCCTAGAGGATCGTTCCAAAATACACTTCTCAAAAATAAACTAAACTAGCTGTAAGTGGAATTCTGTCTTAAGGCAATTAAGGCATCGTGCCTTAAGGCAAATTGCTGGTACTTCGCGTACCAAAAATTATTATTTTTTTAAAAACGATTAACATTTTTGAAAAAAAATTACTTCGAAAAAATAAGATTTTTGAGAAACTATAAATTGGACAAAAAATTACTTTTTTTTGAAAAAAAAAAAATCAAAAAAAAAAAAATTTGATTTTTTTTTTTTGAAAAAAAAAATTTTTTTTTTCTTTATTTTGACATATTGTGGAAGATCTGAACTTTTTTTTCAAAGCAATCGTACTGCTTTATCTGCATAGGGACAAAATATAAAGCGCGTAAGCGTCGCGTCGCTGTCTAACGCATAAGCATTGGTACGGAACCCATAGGAATGCTAACAAAATGCATACTTATTGTTAAAATCTCTATAAAATATCTGATAATTTGATGTGCATATGTCTAATGATCATTTTTGACCGCCAAATGGCTCATTTTTTTACTTTTTCCTCCATATCTCCGAAATCGCTAGACCTGCCCTCATGAAAATTTGATCAATTCTTCACCTTGTCAATACAAGTCAAATGTTTTTTGAATTATTCAAATCGGACGCTCCGTTCTCTTAAAAACTGAGTTACTGTTTTCGGCACTTTTTGCCCCGTATCTTCGGAACGGCTAAACCTGCCTTCGCCAAAAACTAATCAGCACGTCTCCTTATCAATACGAATCGAATGTTTTTTGAATTATTCAAATCGGTTGATCCGTGTTCCCGAAATAGTCGACGAAAATTTGTATCCGCACATACATACACACACGTACATACATACACACACACACACACATACATCCATTTTTTCTAAGGTATGACAAAATGTTCAGAAACCTCTGAAACGTTAAGATATATAAAAATTTTCATTTTTGATTTTTTTGCGATTACTATAACTTGCCCTACGGGAAGTTAACTAACGGTGCATAGTTAACATAATTTAAATTTTTTAAAAGCTTTACACATTTTTGAGAAGTGAAAAAAATTTTTTTTTGAGAATTTTGAAAATTTTGTAAAAGTTGGACATGGTTGAAAAATTAGATTTTATTTATATTCTGAAACTATTTGAAAATTTTGAATTTTTTCGAAGCGATTGCGCTGTATTGTCGTTTTAGAGACGAATTATCGAAGCGCGTAAGCGCCGCGCCAGAGTCTAACGGTCAAAAATTATAAATCAATTTATTCATCTCTACTTTCCCATCGTGTATTAGAGTATTGTTTTAAAGTTAAATTTTTAACGTATTCTAAAAATATTGTTCGAACGTTGGCAGAAGATGTAAAGAAATTATATATTTTTTGTTTGATATTGAAAAAAACTATATTATAAATTTGATATTCGAATCTTGTATTGGCGCCCTTTTAGGCGTGCGCCCTCATTATTCGCGTGTCTCGTATTTAAGGTAGAATCCGCCCTGTATATATATACTATATATATATTTATACCATTCATATTCATATACTATATATATATTTTACCGTTCAGTTAAAAATAATAATTCTTGTTTTTCGAATTACTATTTACACCAATATATGATTGATGTTAAATGTAGAACTACTTCATATAAAATGATTCTCAATTTCCACAGTTAATACTAATTATTCCTTAAACAAATATTAAAATATGTTCAATAAAATTTTATATCAAAAATTAAACACTGCAATTTATAGAACAAATTTTTTTTCCAATAGCTCAATTTATTTTAATGCCACAGGTTAAACAATTTTTTATTCATACCTGTAGATGCGGATGTATAAATTGAATGATTTTTTGTTTATTCACGCCTAAAACATTGATTTTCCAAATTTATCACACAAAAAATCATCGTCAGCCTTTGTTGTGTTGAAAATTGAAGTCTTTTAAAAGGTATAACAAATTCAGAAAGAATTAATATATAGCATTCGCGGTAAAGGTACAATAACACCTTGGACTTTTCTACCCAAAATAATTGCTTCAATAATGTTGCCTATTATTTTTATAATTTCGTATCATATTTTAACTGGCTTTCAGTAATTTTAATATCTAAATTACATTTTTCTCACCAATAATTCAATATACATTATCATTTATGTTCATATTTGAAGTGAATTAATTCATCAAATCCTGTTCACATGTGCTCTTTTCAACCTACGATCAACAAAATTATTGCAGTAAACGGAGAGGAAAAAACGTGTGTCGGAAATAGGCTCATCTTTATCTTAAGTTCATAAACTCACTCATAAACTATTTGATTTAAATGGAAAAAACATTGCAAGCGTCTTTTATCTGCATGATAGCTCACTCATTTTACACGCAAAAGTACTTATTTTAAAGCTTATTTTGAGCACTATAAAACCACATTTTCATACCTAGCTTAATATTGTTCCTAGAACAATTTATAGAACAGCGATATATTAAGATTTTAATTGATATAATTTTGTTTATTACATGATTTTTATTAAAATGTTTATTTTTAGAAATATTTGCGAAAAACGACGAAAAACGCAAAAAAACAAATTTTCAGTAGCCAGTAACATGAAAAGTAATTTCTTTTTTGAAAAACATCATTAAACATTTTTCTCTTCTAAGGGATGTCATCCCCCCGGGTAGTGGCAAAGGAGTTAAAATTATTCAAGGCTTCAAATATTTTCAAGGTCAAACAATGATGAGCGGTTTTTTTTTTAATTTTTCCCATTTATTTCTACAATGTAACTATATTTCTATGAATCTAAAAATTCTAGAAAATTTCCCGAACAAACTTCAGGAAGATTCACGAAAATCCGAATTATAGTTTAGGAGGATTAACCATTCATACATAGTTACAGAAGAATTATATATATATATATATATATATATATATATATATATATTGTTTCTTTTCCGAACAGTAAATCCAATAATAAAAAACAATTTGTTTTTTGAAGATGTTTAATAACGACGTTTCGGAACTAGGTACGTTCCATTATCAGGTTTATTCTGTCAAATACAATGTTTTTTAAAAATATTGATTAATATTAATTAATGATGGTCAATACAGATTAATTAGAAAAAAAAATTATAAAGGAATGAATTATGTACCGGGGTAAAGAGTAATAAGAATTAACTAAAAAAGGTTTTATATAAAATTGAGAAGCAAATAGTTAATTCTTATTACTCGTTTTTTCAAAAAAATATTTATTTATTCGTCTATATTAATGTGGTCCCCTTCAAAGTAGTCCCCCCCAGATATAATACACCACTGGGCGTATGTGCTAATTTGTAAACAACCAATTGTAAACACTTGTCAGCATTCTCTGCTAAATATAATTATTTTTATAGATTGCAGAATAAAAATAAAATAAAAAAAAAAAAAAAATTCTTTGACTTTTCAATTCTTCCATTGTAAAAATCGCCGAGCTCAGAAAAACACGTCGAACCTTAGCGACTACCACAGACAAAGTAAACAGTGAATATAGCTGAAAATTTCATCATACTTTAGGGGCATGTATACCAACACAATAAAAAAAAATTTGACAATCAGACACTCCAGACCCGCGAAATTTAATTATTAGTAATTCCGGGTACTTTTTGAACAGACCTCGTATATATATTAGAGATGGGTAACTCACTCCGGAGTTATCACTCCGATACAACTCCTCCCTCGGAGTGCATCCGACAAATCCGGAGGATTTGTCATATCCGACTTCCCCAAACTGGTACTAAATCTGTTAATATGTGCAGATATTTGCTTGAGATTTTTTACTAGTACAAAGATTTGGGTCGAAAGAAGTGGTCTTTTTCTCGTCTCAGGGCCAGTTTTAGGACTTACCAGGTATATAATGTCTCAAAATAATGTTATTTTGTGTTCTATATTCTGTATACGATAATGTTTGTTCGTAAATGAGCTCTTTCATTGGTATACAACCAGCTAAAAATATTTAGTATTATTTTATAATTTCACGTAATTATTGCTTTATAATTGTGTAAAAGTAATAGTATGCTAATCAAACTACCTGATTTATTATTAATTCTTAAAAAAGAAATAATAAAAAAATGTGAGGTATTATTACTTTGTGAAAAATATTATACACAAAGATTTGTTCTTATTTCATATATAAGGCTCACTGCATTATTTTCATATAAAAATTAACATATTCAAAGAATTCTATATTTTCTCTGCAAAACTATAGTATAATTACAAAATTGATTTTGATTTTCAAGTTTTTTGTCAATTTGAGATTTATATGCATATTGAAATGCATAAAATAGTAATTATTATAATAAAATGAACAAAAATATTTGAACTATTCGTAAACTATTTTTAAAGTCTCAATAAATTCTTAGATATGTTAACAACACACTAGAGAACACATTTTTGTCAAGTATTATATTTCAAAGTTGGCGAAGTTGAGGAGTAGTTAAGTGAATATAACTCTTCTCTAAAGCGGAGTAAAATCGTAACCGATCCGGCTTCGGATATGATAAGCCCATCTCTAATATATATATATATATATATATATATATATATATATATACAGTGCTGGATTTACAGTAGGGGCAATCGGGGCTACTGCCCAGGGCGGCAAATTTTGGGGGGCGGCAAAATTTGGATAGTTAAAAAAAATTCTATACAATATAATCAACTTTTTTTTAACAACATCTTATATTTCAAGAAATATAATTAACAAATCATAATATAATTGCAATGCAAAATTTGGGTTGAAATAACCAATAACTAACATTTATTATTTTGCCTTGCATCCCTCTCTGAACGTAAATTCTCAAATTGATTAATAAGTTATCATATTTGGCAATTTGGCAATTTGGCTAATATAAAGATCCGTAAATAATCTGAAAGTATAAGAAAAATATGAGTTTGTCCACTTCCAAGCTTATAGCGTCGAAAAAAAATTAAACTAGTGACTCATGGCATTGTGCCTTAAGACAAATTCCTGAAACATCCCGTACTAAAAATTACATTTTATAAAAAACTTTAAAATTTTTTGAAGAATGAAAAAAAAGACTTAAAACACATTTTTTGTATTTTGAAATTTTTTGAAAATTATGAACTTTTTGCAAAGCAATCGCGCTGCGTAGCCAAAGAAAATTCGAAATTCAATTACCATTTTTCGTAATTGCCTGTGCCAAAAGCTAATCAGCACGTCTCCCCATCAATACAAATCTATTATTTTTTAATTATTCAAGTCGATTTCGAGAACAGAGATCAACGAATTTAAATGATTGATAAGGAGACGTGCTGATTAGTTATTGGCTAAGGCAGGTTCAACTGTTTTGAAGATACGGGCCAAAATGCCAAAAATGATAATTCAGTTTTTGAAACAAAGCGTCCAATATCATTCAAAAAATTACAGAATAAATAACTGCTTAAATTTGTGGGGGGCAGGTTTAGCGGTTTCGATAAAAAAAATTGAAAAAGAAATATTTGGCGGACAAAAGTGATCATAAGACATATGCACATTAAATTATCAGATATTTTAAAGATATTATAATAATAAGTATAAATTTTGTTTACATTTATATGCGTTCTGTAAAATTGTTTATCCGTTAGACGGCGACGCGGCGCTTACGCGCTTCTATTTTTTGTCTCTACGCAGCTGAAGCAGCGCGATTGCTTTAAAAAAAAGTTCGAAAATTCGTAAAATTTCAGGGATGGGGCGGCATTTTTGTCAGTGCCCCGGGGCGCCAAATTTCTAAATCCGGCCCTGTATATATATATATATATATATATATATGTATATATATATATATATATATATATATATATATTATATAAGAAGCATGCACGTTCGGTATATTGTTTTTACTCTCCACCAGATTTCAAACCTGATATTGTACGGTGGTGTGTAGATAAGCCTCAATTCTATATGATAGATTAAAATTTTGTGTCCAAATGTCAATAAAAATATTTTTTTTTTGATTGAAAATAAAATGTAATAGTAAAAATGGCCTGCTTTTTGATCGTTCACTTCGATACATTCTTTTGTTCCTTTAAATAAATGAGAAATGTCAAGTCACAAAATTTCAGTGTAATGATTTTTTATGAAATATTTTTTTCAAATTTTGTTTTCGTTAAAATAACTTCAATTAAATTGTAGTATTTATTTAAATTCAAATTTTAAAATGAACCGAATCCTATATCACAATGCTGGCGCGCTAATAATGCCAGCGCACGCCATGCAAATGCGTCATAAACATAAAATGCCAGAACGGTTGAAAAAGGTGCCGACAGACAACAACCCCAATTTTTCTTCGATGGTAGAGTATTTTCTGCACAAGGCGATTATGAGGTGCGAAGACACTTTAGAGGGTTATCTTAAACAATGGTACAAGGATGAAAAACTGCGCAAATACCGTTTGGAGGGAATTATTAAAATTATGACAAACTGCCACAACACGCTTGAGGTTAGTGCCATAATTTGTGAAGAAAATAGACAAAAACGATATTGTATATATATATATATATATATATATATATATATATATATATATCATAGTGCTGCTAAAATGTTGGTAGGGTGAGGTCCGAAATAAATCAGACCAATAATGTGCGTCTCTTTGTCGAAGAGAATAGTAATTCGTAGTCAATTAATACTCAACATGTTTTTATGTACAAGCATTTAGAATAAATTGTATTAAATAGATTAAAGAAAAATAATAAATCCAAAAATGACATTATATTACTGAAATTTAAAATTTTTGCACAAAATTGTAGTTTCTATTGAATACTTTATTGAAATTAATATAATTTAAAATTTAGTTGCATTACATTATTTAAAAATTGAAGTATATATATATATATATATATATATATATATATATATAGTGTATATAATATATACGCCAGGTAGCGTATCTACTAGAAAATATATAGAATTTATAGAAGTGGGATATGAGCTTGAATTTTAAGCAATAGATTAAAACATGAATATATTATATCATATAATTGTTAAGGGATTAGTAATATTTGTTCAAATGCCAATGTAAATATTTTTGAAAGTTGACTAAAAATAAAATATAATAAAAATGGCCTCCTTTTTGACTGTACACTTCTATACATTCTTTTGTTCGTTTAAAATAAATGAGAAATGTCAAATTACAAAATTATAATGGGATGATTTTTTCTGAATTAAATTTTCAAAATTTACTTTTTGTACTTGAATTAAATTGTTGTAATTATTTAAATTTAAATATTCAAAATGAACCGAATCCTATATCACAATGCGGGCGCGCTAATAATGCCAGCGCATGCCATGCAAATGCGTCATAAACATAAAATGCCAGAACGGTTGAAAAAGGTGCCGACAGACAACAACCCTAATTTCTCGTCAATGGTAGAGTATTTTCTGCACAAGGCGATTATGAGGTGCGAAGACACTTTAGAAGGTTATCTTAAACAATGGTACAAAGATGAAAAACTTCGCAAATATCGTTTGGAGGGAATAATTAAAATTATGACAAACTGTCACAACACGCTTGAGGTTAGTGTGAGACAGTTATCAAATGCAGCAGGATAAATGTGAATGATTTAATTGTTTTTTGGCTGGTCAAACTATCCATTCGCGCAATGCGTTTTACAAAAGTGACTTAACTTTTGAGTGCACTGAGGATAAACTTACTAAACAAAAGTCGCTTTGCATTATCAAAATATTCAATTTGATGTCATGCCGAATTGAATTTGAATTTTTTCAAGGTATGCTTCCCGATTCGGCGCGATAATGGAAAGTACGAGATGATAACGGCATACAGGGCGCAGCATAGCGTGCACCGGCTGCCAACGAAGGGAGGCGTGCGATATGGCCTCGACGTCTCTTACGATGAAGTTCGAGCGCTGGCTAACCTAATGACTGTCAAGTGCGCCTGTGTCAATGTTCCCTTTGGCGGCTCCAAGGTATAAATAACCATAAATATGACTCTATAGAAATATTTAAATTTTTCACCTAATATTGCTTTTACTTTGTTATGACTTATTTTGAACATCATCTTAATAAAATTTATCTAAGAAAAGCTTTCTGAATAATATACTATGTATGAATTTACACTTGATTAATTAAAACTAGCTGTAAGTGAAATTCTGTCTTAAGGCAATTAAGGCATCGTGCCTTAAGGCAAATTGCTGGAACTTCCCGTACCAAAAATTATTATTTTTTTAAAAACGATTAACATTTTTGAAAAAAATTTATTTTGAAAAAATTAGATTTTTGAGAAACTATAAATTGGACAAAAAATTACTTTTTTTTTGAAAGAAAAAATTAAATCTTTTTTTTTTTAATTTTTTTTTTTTTAATGTTTTCTTTATTTTAACATATTTTGGAAAATTTGAACTTTTTTTCAAAGCAATCGTACTGCTTTAATTGCATAGAGACAAAATATAAAGCGCGCAAGCGCCGCGTTGCTGTCTAACCGATAAACATTTATACTTATATATTATATAATAATTATACTTATTATATAATAATAATTTATACTTATTGTTAAAATCTCTATAAAATATCTGATAATTTGATGTGCATATGCCTAATGATCATTTTTGACCGCCAAATGGCTTTTTTTTTACTTTTTTTTTTTAGATCTCCGAAACCGCTAGACCTGCCCTTATGAAAATTTGATCAATTCTTCACCTTGTTAATACAAGTAAAATGTTTTTTGAATTATTAAAATCGGACGCTCCGTTCTCTCAAAAACTGAAGTACCGTTTTTGGCACTTTTTACCCCATATATTCGGAACGGCTAGACCTGCCTTCGCCAAAAACTAATCAGCACATCTCTTTCTAAATACGAATCGAATGGTTTTTGAATCATTCAAATCGCTTTATCCGTGTTCCCGAAATCGTCGACGAAAATTTGTATCCGCACACACATACATCCACGCACGCACACACACACATACACACACACACATACATCCATTTTTTCTAAGGTATGCCAAAATATTCAGAAACCTCTGAAACGTAAAGATATATCAAAATTTTCATTCTCGATTTTTTTGCGATTGCTATAACTTACCCTACGGGAAGTTAAAAATCAATGACTGAACTAATATTATATTTTTTTATATTTAAATATTTGGTGATATTTTTTTCCTATTTGGCAATAATCTCGTGTCTTGTATATAAGGTGCAAACCAGTTATTAACATTTTATAGTCAAATAATCAACATTTCCAAAATTATATTAAAATGAACAATAAATAAACCAATTAAATTTAATTATTACTCTAAAACTATTGATTATAATATAATATAATATATGAATAAGTACAATTGATTGATAACTAACTTATATATATATTGTAAATATTGATATTAAAGTGAGTAATTTATTATTTTCACGTGATCTATATCATCTTCATAATTTTTAAAAATTTTAAATATTTACGATAATCGGCATCCTCAAAATGAATGAATCTACAGTGTTTTGAAATCTTAGTTTTTTTATTTTTTGAAAGAAAAGTATTCAATTTTCAAATAAAACAGGTTAGAAAAATATATCTTTTGATTCATAATTTATTCTGATTTTTATGCCAATTTCCAATTTTAATTTCTTGTATAATTTCATTTACTATTTTAACATAATTAATAACAGTTTTTGTATGATCAATTTTATAAAAGAATGACTACGAATGAGGATCGTTACAGGGCGGTGTAGCGATCGATCCAAGAAAGTTCAGTCCCGTGGAATTGGAAAGTATTACGCGACGTTTCGCACTGGAGCTTGCTAAGAAGAACTTCTTGTCGCCGGCGCTCGATGTTCCGGCTCCAGATGTCAACACGGGTCCGAGGGAAATGTCCTGGATGTACGACACCTATATGAAAACTGTTGGACATCACGACTTGAATGCCCAAGCCACCGTAACAGGCAAACCGATAAACCAGGGAGGTGTCAAGGGGCGCGTTGAAGCCACAGGCCTAGGTAAATGATCTTATTCTTAATTCATTTCTCTCGCTCTATATATATATATATATATATATATATATATATATATATATTACACGTTTATTGGCAAATTTGTGGAGGTTTCTTATCTTTAACATATATGTTCAGTGGGTACGTTCAAAATACACCGATTCATTAAATACAGTATGAGTTAGTTCACTTTATGCCCCCACAAAAAAATTAACTCCTGAAGGCAACGCTTTCTGCTATTTTTCTATTGTTACCCGTTATGATTTTTGTGTGCTGTACAAACATTATTTCTTCTTTTGCAGGATTATTTATCGGTTTGAATAGATTCATTCTTAATGACAACTTCATGAAATCGTTTAAAATGAGACCAGGATGGAAGGGAAAACGTGTTATAATACAAGGTTTTGGAAATGTGGGAAGCTACGCTATTTTGAATGTTTACAAAGCAGGAGCCTTGTGTACGGGTGTACAAGAAGCCGATGCTAGTTTGTACAAGAGCGACGGAATAAATATAGTTGAATTGTTAAAATACAAAGAAAAGAATAACATGTCAATCAAAGGTTTTCCGGGGGCTCCTGAATATAGTGGGAAAGACCTTTCGCTAGAGGAGTGCGATGTCTTCATACCAGCTGCTACACAAAAGACAGTTACTGCCGAAAAGGCTAAAGTAATGAAGTGCAAAATCGTCGCAGAAGGTGCAAATGGTCCATGCACCCCTGGAGCCGATAAAATACTGCGTGACCGCGGCATCGCCGTGCTACCAGACATGTACATGAACGCGGGGGGAGTCACCGTCAGTTACTTTGAGTATTTGAAAAACTTGAACCATGTATCATTTGGAAAATTAACATTCAAACATGAACGGGACACTATTTACCACATCCTGGATTCAGTAGAACAATCTCTGGTATGCGAAGCCAATTTAAAAATCTGTATGAATCCCAGCGAACATTTGCTTATGAGAATAGCCGAAGCTTCTGAACGTGATATAGTGTTATCGGGTTTAACCTTTACCATGGAAAACACTGCCAAAGGTATTCTTAATACAGCAGAACGTTACAAACTAAAAGATTATAGACTAGCTGCCTATATCTATAGCATTGAAAAGATTTTCAAAACATATCAAGAAGCAGGTTTGGCAATTTGTTGATGGAAATTACCCCACTTCAAATATAAGTTTTCATACAAATCAATTTATAACGTTCTGATAGCAATTTTATGTAGCCTAATAGTATCAACACATTATATATTAATAAAATATACATATTTATTATTTATTTCAGTAATTATTTTCTCATATTCTGTAAAAGGTCAGCCCTATTAGATAATTTCTAATAATAAAATCATCAAATATGAATGGATTAACCTTTGGGTTACCATCTAAAGAATACGAAGTAAGGAGAAGTTTCAGTTCAACAGCTCATAGTCATAAGACGTAAGGTTCTGATTGCTGTTAAGATATGAGAATAAAAAAAATCCTGTAAATATTATTCTTTCGCAAATAGGGTTTCATAAAATTTACTAGAAATTATTAGTTTTAAACTTTTAAAATTGCAGCGTATTAATAACATTTTTTAGATATTTTTGAATATTTCAAATAACATGTAGTTAAAATTTTTAGTTATTTTATTCGCATTAAAAATAAAAAAAATGATATCCATGTTAGTATTTATTTTAAAATCTAAATTATTTTCGATACACAAAAATATTTTTTTGAAAAAAAAAATTAGAAAAATTTTATTTTTTCCAAAATCAATTATTTTGTTGAAACAAGCAGAAAAAGTTTTTTGAATAATTCAAATCGAACGCTTAGTTCTCTCAAAAACTGCCATTTTTGCACATTTAGCTATGTATCTTCAAAATGGCTGGACCTGCCTTTGCTAAAAACTAATCAGCACGTCTCCTTATTAATAAGAATCGGATGTTTTTTGAATCCGCTCATACATTCACACACCCACACACACATACATCCATTTTTTCTAATTGTAAGGTATGTGAAAATGCTTAGAAACCTTTGAAACGTAAAGATAAATAAAAATTTCATTATCGATTATTTACAGAGATTTATCAATTCGATTACTATAACTTACCGTACCCCTACGGGAAGTTAAAAACCAACGGAAAGATATAGTTCGATGTTTGTACTTATAATTAGAGGTAAAAGATAGTACTAGTATCTGAGTCGCGGTTTAAGTCAATAACTGTAAAAAATGTTTGAAGAATTTATTCTGAAAATTAATAAACATTGTGAAAATTTTTAGTAATTGGTACAACAATGAATTAATTTATGTTTATGGGATGTAAATATAAATTGTGTGATGTATTTAAGAGGAGACAATTCTGGTTTCAAAACATTTGTAACAAATATCATTTAATAATCGATAATAAACAAATGTTTAATAATGACTTAAAAAACCTTTATATATATATATATATATATATATAAGAAAGATAAATTGAAAATTATTGCATTAGTTGAAGAGAAGAAAAGAAAATATTTCTGTTGTACATTTCGAACACAGAGCATGTGTCATTCAGCAGTTCTAAATAATTAGATTATAAATTGAATTAAAATGTACCAGCAATATAAAAAAATAAGACAAAACTAGAAAGAATTAACAAAAAAAAACCTATACATATTTTACCATAAAAATTGTATCTAATGGAATCAATCACAATCACAAATCACAACAATGTATCACAAGCCTATATAAAACATAATGGTGTAGAAAAGACTTATAATAATAAATAACCATCATGGGATAAATAAATATATCCTAATAAGAAATAACCATAGTCAAATAATAGTATCTATATTGACGTTTGTGTAAACATTTTTTGTAATTTTTGTTGAATACGGAAGCACCAGTTGCATCGGTCACCGACTAAGTAAGTTTATATAAATATATCTGCACACACATATATATATATTAAAATTATAAAATATAGTAAATCTCGTAGAAAGAATTATTTATTATTTTTATTAACCTTTTGTCAAAACAACGTTCTTTTCTATAAAAAATATTTCACATAAGTCCATTAGTATTACATACATGATTTATATATATATATATATATATATATATATATATATATATATCTATATATATACACATATATATATACACACACATATATATATATATATATATATATATATATATATACTTAATTGATATATTTTTCTATTCTGAATAATTAATTCAATAAATTCCAGTTATAATGCTCCAATCCAATTACGGCGTTTCAGAATTAGATACGTCATCAGGTTTTTTTGTCAAAAACATTTTTATTATGAAATAACAATATTAATAGTGAGGATTACAGAATACTTTTTAATTTTCGTTTTTAATTTAAGTTTTATTAATATTCTATAATCATTGTCACTAGCATTGTTATTCCATAATTGTTTTATATATTTTGACAGAAAAACCTAAAATATGTATATGTATATGTATATGTATATATACATATATATATATATATATATATATATATATATATATATTATATATAGTTAAGTTTATTTCAAAGTTATGTTCAATCTGGTTGCTTGGTTGTACCGTATATATGTATGTTATATATATGCAGTGTGTGCAGATATATTTATATAACATATATATTTTCAAACAAGACATACACATGTAATATTTTATATATATATATATATATATATATATATATATATATATATATATATATATATATATATATATATATATATATATGTTTGTGCTCCCATCTAGAAATTCAGAGTTAACAGATATTAACATATATATATACACACATATATACATATATATGAAGTGCATTCAAAAAATAAGGTGTGTTCGATTCGATTCGATTGCCATGTTTGATTTGCCACAGCTCATGTTCCAATAATTTATAATTATGGAAACATATTGTACCAACTTTTTCATAAATAATTAAAATATACAGTGGCATAAATATGTTCATAAGTACAAACACCAGAGAATATATATATATATATATATATATATATATATATATATATGTAGAAAAACAACCAGAGTATATATATATATATATATATATATATATATATATATATATATCTAAAAGATATCACAAAAATTGTGAAAAAAATATTTTTAAAAATCATTGTTTTATTATTCCAAGCCACTGAGCATTGTGATAACAGTTTCTTTCAATCTTTAAAAAGAAAATGATTGAATGAGCATATCACAAAATAGATATAAAACTCAAATCAAATTTTTGCACCAATTTTTTCAATAGAAAATCAGCGAGTACTAATAAATAAGTCTTTGTCTGTCAAAACAAATTATATACGCTATGTACTTGAAACTGCAAACATGTTTTGTAGTATGTATTAATATGACAACAAAACTCGAAAGCCCCCAAAACACACCTGTTTCTCATACATTATATACATATACATATCCACAAACACACACACACACTCACATACACATACACACACACATATATATATATATATATATATATATATATATATTAAGGTGGTCCTTAAAATGGTCATTTTCGAATTTCGTTGCTCCCAGGGGCTCAAATGGTTCCAAATCGATAAAAAACAATTCTCTGAAAGTTTTGGCTCTTAATATTAACGTTTAGATAGAGCGCAATTCAATCAAAGTTTGTATGGAAAGAGCATGGAAAAATTTTTGAAAATGAAAAAAAAATGTTTTAGGTATAACTTAGCGACAAATGAATGAGTTTTATTTATTCATTAGTTCACTAAATTACATCTAAAAACCATTTTTAAAATTTTTGAAAATTTTTCCATGCTATTTCCATACAAAACTTTGATTGAATTGCGCTCTATCTAAACGTTAATATTAAGAGCTAAAACTTTCAGAGAATTGTTTTTTATCTATTTGGAACCATTTGAGCCCCTGGGAGCAAGGAAATTCGAAAATGACCATTTTAAGGACCACCCTAATATATATATATATATATATATATATATATATATATATATATATAAAGTACATGTTAACATATTTTTGCATACTGTTCATTGATAGACTATATAGATTAATTTACTTTTGTTGACTGACTTTACATTTTACCATGATGATATGTTCAACTAGCTCGAGAATTAATTATCATTAAATACATATAATTGGCTTTATTATAACTGCCATTCTAAAAGATATAACCAGAATGTTTATTTACAGCGATTATATTATGCTATAGTAAATTAGAACTGCCATATTAAAAAGTATTTCTTTATATTACATATACATTTATGTTTTATACATACATACATACATACATGCATACATACATACATATATACAGGTACACACACAAATATATATATATATATATATATATATATATATATGCATGTGTGCATGTGTGTGAGTATATATTAAGTTGTATGTACATATACAAATATGAGTTTATTGTACCAATTATTTCTCTTTATAATTTTCTACTCATGTACCTATTAAGTTACTTTTATGATTAAATGACTTATGATCACTTATTATACAAAGAATAAATTATTTTATATATTTAAAAGGTACTCTTATTAACAAACTTTCAACATAAATAATTGAATTCTACCAAACACTTATAAAATTTATGAGTTTTTTATTTGTTTGGTCAGTAGTCATTCCTTAAATTCTTTTACTTATCATAAATATGTTTAACCTGTAATAATAATTTAAATATATAATATAAAACAAATATAACATAAAATAGAATTCTTATTTATAAAATTCATTTTCACATTTTGAAACAATTATTTATTGTTATTTTATTACCTTATCAAATAAGTGGTAAATAAAATGATAAAGGTATCTAATTAGAACGTCGTAGAATATCTGGCACACATTGATTTAGTGTCTTAATAGAATTTGATCATTTCAACGTGTTAACTACACATATTTAGTAACGAATTGTATAGTCTTGAATAGCGCATTATCTCATAGATGGTACCATTTTTTATCTTTGTACTTTAGCATTAGATTGTGCGCCGATGAACTAAAATCTTGTGCTTGATTATGCATCCGCTCCGCGCGGTCTTCTAGCTGAGAGAGTTTGTCGCCGCGCTCCATCATTAGCTGATGGGCACGATTGACTTCGGATGATGCCGATGTTGCCCGCTGACCTAGATCTTGTATGGCCGTCGAAGAATTGCCGGGCTGAATTACTCGCGCCACTGATCTGTTTGCCTTTCCTGACGACTCGCCAACTATAAATCAGGATTCACATTTAAAACAAAAACAATTTATATTATCACACCGAGAAAATAGTTTTCTTATTTTGTTAAACATAAATATACCGTGTGAAATCCTATACCCTGTTTACCACGTCCACTAAAACTAAATCATTTATGTAAAGTACCTAGACGCTGAAGAATTTTAGTGCATCACATTGACGCATGATAAAGTGCATGGTTGATAAGGCGCGTAATCCCAAGTTTTATAATTGAGCATTCGTTTTTTTAAAACAAATTTGCAATAGTTATTGCAATAATTACTGTTGTAGTTTTATTAAATAATTTATGTTTATTTATATATAAGTAAAATCTACTCGCATATTACAAAATATAGAATAATAACAATAATAATGCAAAATAATATTTTTTTCTTTGTCTAATTTGAAGATAATTGTCTGTATTTGCGGTAATTATCAATTATTGTACCACAATTAAAATTTAAAAATAGTAAGAAGGTTGAGGTACTTTTGCTAACTATTAGTGATATAAATTTAAAATCTTACAAAGTTCTTCCCGGTCAAGCGGGCGTGGTCCACCTCCAAATAAGCCTTTGAAAAAACTTTCTTTCGGCGGTTCGGGCATATCAGTTGCTACGAACAACTCGCACATCATCTCGGGCAGCTGGGTACTGCATATAATAATAAAGCTAACTAAATAACAAAACTAAATAATATTAATCTTCAGAAGTTTTATAGTTACTATAACTCAGTTAATATATTCACATGTCTAAATGTTTCTCAAATCATTATGCTGACATTGTGTAGAATATAGAAACTACGAGCCAATGCTAAATGATGTTTTGCATTTAATAATATATTTATTATTTGCATGAATATTTGCATAAATATATTACAAGCATATAATATATTTATCAGTCACAAACTCAAATGTGCAATAAAACTAACGACTCACCAGAATTCCGCGCAAACTGTGAATTTCTGTAATTCCGATGGAGAAGTCAAATATAAACCATGCCCTCTGTTGCTGAAGCAAAATGTTTTCGCAATTCTGGAAAAATGTATAAGATGCTATATAAATGCTGAAAATTTTTATGTTGCATTTTCAGTAAAATTGTTATGATAACAAAAGAGAAATCCAAGCAGGAAAATTGATGACAAATATCGTAACGAATTGGTGTATATATCTAACACCCGAGATATATTTCAATCAAATTTTTATAATTTGGAGGTATACTCGTATATATGTTTTTTACCATATACGTAATGCAGTTTTAAAACTGATTGTATAGAACTGTAACGCGCAATTGAACTTTTTTATATAAACTCTATGTCCTGTAAGAAACTCCATGAGGACAACAAAACTTTTCCAACAGCATTCTTTCCAGCAATAAGAGTAGTAGATACAATAAGCACGTTCAGAATGACATTCATCTTACCGTTCCATCAATGCTGCTATAAAATTATCGATATTTATACATAAATATATTTCGACACATTCGGCAAGTTTACTCTTTAAAATTTCATATGATATTTATATATATATATATATATATATATATATATATATATGTGTGTGTGTGTGTGTGTGTGTGTGACTATAGTCAATACATAGTTTCGACAACTTATTAAAAGCTATTCATGTTTATTTGTGAGATTAGCCATTTGTGTTGTTAAAAAATATATATTATACCATACCACTTTGTGCATAAGCATACTCATACCATGGAGTAATGATGTTTTCATCTATTATATTGGATACAAAATTTTAAGTATTTTTTATCGTTATTGTTTTTCTATGTAAATGTAATACATTTTGGACTCCGTCAATAAATGTAAAATGTTTTTTGAATCATTGGCACACCAGGGTTCGAGAACATATAGTCTCTTTTTAATTTGTAATCATTATAAATAAAATTTAAACCACAATAAGGGTCAGAATACAAACTACGCAGAACGTAGTAAATTACTCATGCTACAACATTGCATTCTCGAAGTATCCTTGGGCCAAGCACAGCATGTGTCGTTGATAAAATTTCTTTCAACCGCAAATGCGCACATAACATTTACTCATTTATTGTGTTGCACTCTGCAATAGCGTTAAACAAGCCGTAAGTTTTTTTTTTTTTTTTTTTTTATTTATATACAGCAATCAGAACTCTTTCTTCTTTGTTGTTCTATGAGCTGTTTGTGTGTATGACTTATGATCTACGGTGAGAAGATGAGAAGCAACCCATCGGTTATCTTTCTCCTATGTGTGGGTATTTTTTTAGCTCTTATGTCTAATAGTGTGGGGGTTTTATTGGCTCTTATGTCTAAATGGTGTGGGGGTTATTAGCTCTTATGTCTAATAGTGTGCATGTGGTTGTATGCAACTATGTCCGCGAAGGACGATTTCCACTTGGAATTATATTGTGATCTATAACCCCAAGTGGAAATTTGACATCAAAGTTGCCTGATGTCAGGCTTGGCGGTAGCGGGAATCGAACCAGCGAGCCTGGGTCTAGTTGGTGCTAGCCCACGCCCTAACTGATATCGCCACCGCTGGTCCAAGTCGTAAGTAATGTTATCTAGGAATTCAAGGTCACCCTGAAGCAAGCATATAAAAGTCTTGCGGTGACGCATTCGACAGTTTAGTTGTAGTTTTCTATAAAGTATGAGCCCAGAGAAGAGTTTTCTATAAAGTATGAGTCCAGAGGAGTATGAGTTAGGACCAGTATAAGTCAATTCGTAGTTCAATTCAATATTTCAACCTTATTTAGTCTTCAGTCAGATTATTTCCTCAGTTGTTGAAGTTATGTGTAAAGTGCACCAGAAATCGTATAAAATAAATAAATCAAATCAAATAAATATATCAAAGATCTAGGTACATCTGTTTTTATCGATCTGCCTCCACAGATTGGTAACAGATGTGTTTAGCAGCAGAAAGAACCTACATATTGTTACTAGTTGTAACAGTTGTAGTATATATATACTAGCAAACCCGACGAACTCCGTTTCGTCACCAGAAGGTTTCGTGAGAAAGATGAAGAAATTTTTTTTTTTTTTTATATTTAAAAAGGTAAAATTTGATTTTATTACACAACATGAATGAATTTATTTCGATTACAAAAATAAAGTGTTTTTTAGTTGAACTTCTCTAAGTAAATGCAAGTGAATCCGCAAATTATCCGTTAAATTGAAGAGCTCTTTGGTAAACCACAAATTTTTGTTTTTTGGTCTGACGTTAACACAAACAAAGCGGATGGTTTTCCAACTCGTGAACAGGCAACGTATAACTGCCCATGTGAAAAACAATGATTTTCTAAATAATCTATTTGAAATTTATCCCGCAAACACTAAGCGATTGGCCTTGCGACTTGTTATTGCGAACGCAAGGCGAACTGGAAATTGCAATCGTTTAAAGTCAAACGGAAGACCAGTCGGAATCATTGGTATATCACCAAATCGCCGCAATTTTTTACTGAATGGTGAAATTCAGTGCGTGTACATCATTATTCTTTGCGGCAAGAATTGCTCGTTGACTTAACCAAACATAATTCTGGTAATTCTCACTAATGGCATTACTCAATTTGATTGATTTTTGACATTTTGGTGACAGCTTTGCTTACTTTTGCTGACAAAGGGGGATGGGTAATTAATTGTACTAAATCTGCTTACGTAATACTTGAACGATCCCATATATATACATATGTAAAAAATCGCTTTTTGGTTTATTTCCCTATCACATATGTTATTTAAGTATTCGGTATTCGGCTGAATAGTATAAATGGTGTGAAATTTTCCAAATAAGAAAGAGTAACCAAATAGTAGTTGCAAGTCTAGGCATAAGAATTGAATATACATGTGGTATGTTAGTAATATAACAACTGCGAATAGTAATTACATTAATACGAACGAGTTTAGGCGCTAAAAACTTTCCGAATACTTTTTGAATATTCGGTATTCGGTTTCTGGAGCATGCTGAACATTCGGTATTCGGCATTTTGCCGAATATACTATTCGTTGCAAGACTAGTATTAACCCTTTTCGGTAGACGGGTATCATAGTACTCGGAATTATTTTTCGTCCGATCATTCCGGACAGTTGGGTACCGAACTAATGGACTTCTACAGTGTATATATTTATAATGCAAAATGATTATGTATTGCTTAGAGGTACATTCTATAGAACAGGATTCTAAGACAAATTAAAGGTACTTATTTCTGTACAATAGTCGATTAATCCGGTAATTAGTACCCTAACCAGACGCTGAAAGTATAATATTACAGTATTCACTAGCTGGAAATATCTCTAGCAACAATCGGAATAAAACTTCTAATAAATACAAATTAGCTTAGTCTCACAAACAGTCGACGAAAGTAAGAAACACTCTAAACGCACTATTCGTTCTATATATATTGTCTATATATTTATATACTGACTAACTGACAGGTTTGATATGAATACTGAATTAAAGATGATCCAAACCATTAAGTGAACAAAAATACCAATATAACGCGAAATTAAGTTGCGCATACATATGTAATTGTGACCACTTCAGAGAACGAAGATCTAATATGCTAATTTTATTTATACTATTCAAGAGTATTCAATGTATATGTATATATAAACAGTATTAGTAAAACTTAAATCATTCATGCGAAACAAATATCATAATATCTTGATGTCTGTGAAATTATATGTAAATACGTTTGTGCTATGTACAAAGCAGGTACCTACGTAGAGAGAGCATAATAACTTCATGCTATAGTAATGACATCTCATTTTGAAAAATATTTTTTTGAATTTGAACGATAGAAAGTAGTATCACTTCATAAAATTAACTATTGTAATACAAATATATTTAGACCTAAAATTTTAATTGACGTAACTATATATAACAATAATAAATGTTCAAAACTATTATTTCTATTATTTCAACTTATTAACCATTTAATATACTCTCTGACAACAATACTGCTTTACTAGTAAATTCTCAAATCAGTTTGCACATGTAAAATTCTGCTACAAAGTACCTCCAAAAGTATGAATATCCAGATCATTCAGTGCATGCAAAGCAAATTTTATTAATGTTGCTTTCGTTTCAAAACGTACGCGACATTAATAAAAGTTTTTTCTTCTAAGTTACATTTATTGTGCTTTTGATAATGGTGGATGCAAAATCTTTTCATCCCAAAAGTAGTATATATAAAAATATAAATTATAATATCTTTAAAATATGGAATACACGGGTAGCAATAAGAAATATTACATCACATAAATTTATAAAAAGCGTGCCACAAGATAAAACATCCAGTTAAATAATTATCAATAATAAGAGAACTTTAACTTCTCTTATGTGTAATGTAGAGTGTGGAACAGTATTCCCAACATTCTGTCTATATTAAATATAGTATATTAAATATGAAATAACAAGTGATTTTATGACATCATTATTCAAGTTTAGGTTATAATTAAAAAAATCAAGACAGCGTGAAAAAAATTATTAGTATTAATGTATTAAATATTAGAGATTAATTAGTGCTACGTTTTAAAGTATCATAAAAATCATAAGAAATAATAGTTCATAAGTAAAGTAATTGCTTTAGATAAAACTTAGGCGTAAATGGTAGAAATAGAAGGCTGGGAAATGTCGAACTTAAAATGTATCATTGTATGTGCATAACTTACTTATCAGTGTCCTCGTTTACAATGAGCTGTTGGCCCCAAATACTGAGCATTGGGTCGACAATAGCACCTTGTTTGCAATGTGTCTGGAAACTGCACGGGTACAATAAGATGATCACAAGAAATAAGCAGGTGAGGTATAGTGTGAAAATAAGGATTTGGAAAACTTATAAATGTGCATTGCAAATACATCGAGAAATTGTGCTTCACTTTCGTTGCAGTAACATAATTCACAAGGATTTAGGAAGAAAATAGAGTTAACAATATTAGAGTGAATCAGAAATAGTTCTCTTACACCTATCTTGGTCTATAAATGCTCTAAATTCTATATATATAAATGTGCAATTGATTTATAAAGTTCAATCAATCTACGAGGCGTGTTATAATAGTGTATAATTTTCAAAAAATGGTTATGTTGCTGCACATGCTTTTCCACAAAGCTGTAATACTAATTGCACAAAGTTGTTGTTTCATATGTTGATATATATGTGTTTTGATTTGTCATTTCAGCTGTGAGTGGGACGTACATAATTATATATATACGTATATATATATATATATATATATATATATATATATATTTAAGTTTTAGATAACTCAGATTCTAAAACAGAACTAAGGAGATAACTCGTCGTCGTTCACTTATTAAGAGTCTTCGACTTCCCCACGCAAGGTTCGGATCGGAAGAAGCTATCGTAGAGTACAAGGCATGCAACCTTTCTCTTCTGTTCACATTTGAGTTTATGTAGGATGTTTGTATTTTACATAGACTTCGCGTGTGAAAGTATTTTTTGTATATTGGTGCCATCGTGTACATTGAAGTTATCTATTTAAAATAAATAAGAAATCCCAAACCATAACTAGTGAGTAAATTTGTCCAGATCACAACCAGAAGATAAAACCATTCTCTTCATTCGTCTTCACCTTACGTTAGCAATAGAATGAACAAAATTTGAACAATTTCTGGTTTTGGACTCATTTTAAACTAATTTCTTTATAACTAAACCCAAAAGTGTTTCACATTTGAAATAAACTGGCACATAAATAATTATTTAAAATATAGATATATTTATATTCATGTTAAATTTAATTTTTAATTTAGATTATAATTATGTGATCGCAGCAAAAATTAAGAAATAAATAAAGCTATCCGAATATTTTTATCGTCCATTTATAAAAATCCTGTATCAATACAGGATCAATACATGTATCAATACAGATCTAGCAGTTGATTGAATTTATATGTGAATAACTCAGGATTAAGTGGGTCGTTATAAAAGTTAACTCACCTTTCAAAAAGAGATGCGCACTTATCGATTCGGCTTGATATGATGTTATATATATGACTTTTTTATTTTGACAAAGAAAAAGACAACCAATCAAAATTTTTATAGTCATAACTATGTTATTATATATATATATATATATATATATATATATATATATATATATATATATATATATATACATTGTGGTTTCTTTGGAGTGATATGATTTCGTTTCACGAAATCAATCGTTTAAATAAATGAATGCCACAGTGTTGAACCCGAATAACACTGGAGGTACGATCCAAAAAACTAGCGTGTTGTGCGAATCCATGTTATACGGGAAAAAGAACTAGTATAAAAAGAAAGGTCACGTTCCAAAAATTCCAAAAAATATGCTAAATATCATTTGATAAATATTGTTATTAATTTTTATTAATTTATTAATAATTAAGTTATTAATTTTTTTAAAGAAATAATATACATTATATGAATTATGATTTAGTCATAATTAACAAGTAAGCGATTTTTTTTTGCAAGTTATCCTCATACTTTGAGCAGTTTTCTGGACTACCTCCAGATCTGTGCATCATTTTTTGCAAAAAAATATATTGCTTTTAGCAAGAAGATATTTATATATTTACTCCAGATCCTTGTTTAAGACTAATTGACTAATTGTTCAGAAAATAAGCTTAGAATTTTTTTTCTAGCTTTCTAACGAATCGCATTTATTGAGCTATTGTACGGCGATTTTACTAATTTTATATTGAAGAAAGTTAGATTTTTATAAGTTTTACTTTATTTTTTATTTTATTAGGGTTTTTCTCAATTCTCAAACCGTGTTAGAGCAAACCCGTGCTTTAAAAGTACCGTGTTATAAGGAAGATGATTTCAATTCTGAAACCGTATTATGCGCGCGTTATCTGTAGTTTTACAAACTTTCATTGATACTGTCATGTTATGATTTTAGGGAAACAAAAAAACGTTCTGTTACGCGATCATTTTTTTAGTCTTGAATTATATTTTATATTATGTCTACATATATCGATAGCCGAACGATTTTCATCAGCAATTCTTTGCATATTTCTTTTGCATTCCTGAACCGTTATGAAATTGCATTCAGTTTATTTGCAATACTTAAAAAATCCAAAATATAAAGCACTTATTGAGTGTTGCACATTAAAATTAAAACCTAGGTATATATCTAACGTATAAAAATATTGCAGGAAATATAATTACCTCAATAAGTGGTATACAAAATATTAAAGAAAATATAATTACCTCAATTCACTTAAGGGTAAAAAATCGATATCAATCAATGGTCTCAGCGAAGGTAAACTATGCGCAGTCAGATGACCAGAAGATAAATAACTAATCAGACACGGAAGATCTGCAATAAATGTTAGTTTAGCTTTTAAATTGATATCACTCATGATTAAGAACGTGAATTAATCGTTTAAGTATATTTATAATCCGTATCTTTTTAAACCAGATCCTAAGCAGTCAAAATAACAATAATTTTATGTGACGAATATGTATAACTATATTTACTTTTGGTCATTTATGTAAACAATTTAGCTAAATACATTTCGTTCTTCAAAATTTTTTTTATATCTTGTTAAAATTATGTTTTATCTCATTATCAGCATAAAAAGCTAATCTATCAATCTAATCAACACTATATTTAGTATTGCAATTGCATGGCGTTATCAACTTTATCGCCATCGCGACGAATAAAAACAAAGTCAATTGACGAGAATCAGTTAAAATAACTGAACAAATAATATTCGCATAAATATTTCGCACAATGCATATATATTTACAATATATAAAGAAATTCAGAATTGATATGATGAGGATTTCTTACCTCTTAATACGATGACTTCAGCCTTTACGACAAATTCGCCATCGGCAATTTGCGTTCTATAAGTACAAGTCTGCGACGGAAGCGACACAACCCTAGCCTGCTTTTCGCTCACTAAAATTACAAATTGCTCAGTATTAAACACTAATGTATCGGATGCCAACGTTGGGCTCATTCTGGAAGCTCGTGTCGGTGTTTCTGCGAACAAATTATATGTGTCATAGCGTTTCTAGTGACTATTGCTTAAATATAATTTATAGCATAAAGAGATTAAGGTAAACCGATAGCATAAAAAAACTTACTATCTCGTCGTTCCTTTCCTTCGTCCCGCCAGGGTTCGCTGGGAGGAACTATTAAAGCACCTGTATAATCTAGGAATGAAATGGTAGTAATTCCACCATTTAAACGAAACGGACCACCTCCTAAGGAAATGTAAAAACATTGTGAACACATTCCGTAAAAGTTGAAATTTCGAATAATTAAAATAAACTTAGCATCAACTTGGATATTTTCACCAATTTACAAGAATTTACCTGCTATGGTAGCACTGGCCTGTTGCGTTCTTCGATTCTCCATGTCAGGAATTGTTAAACAAATTGTAAAAACAGAACCGATACTTGTACCCACCCACAGTGTAGGCGTCAATGAATCTGAAAACATGCAATGTTAATTCATTATTTATAATTTTGTTATAAATATTTTCAAACTCAGTTCAAAACTAATCAATCATTACGAAAGTTAACACAGTAATACTTCTGTCTCAATCATTAATATATGTATACGTAGTCATTTATTGAAGTAATTTTTTTTTACTGAAAGCTATAAACGCGTAAACTACTGTCAACAAATCAAGTATTTTAAAAGAATCGATTCTATTAATTGATTCATTCAATTTTTTATAATGCAAAACAGTTGAGCACAAATATAAAAAAATAGTTTATAAATATGCTATGCACAAATGTTTTGTAAAAATCATCAACAAAAAATTAATATATTTTGAACGGATTTGCGTTCCCTCGTAGCTTGAAATGCTGCCCTTGATTTTGTAGCGCACCTGGTATATCTTTTATTGTATAATATTGTTGAGTAAAAATAATGTTTTGTTAATTTACTTTACCTTTCCTAAGGTAGCAATCACAAAATGCCAAACATTGCACAGACTCTGTAGACATGTTCTCCAAGCTGGACATTGAGCTGGACCGCGATCTTGAGAACGACGAGTCCATTTTATCTACACGGCCCGTATAACAAATACACATATTATGAAATTTAAGAATTGAAAGTTTTTTCTTAACTTATGTTTATATTGAACAATTTAACTAGCATAGTTAACTTTAAATCATAATCTTAAACAGCAACTTTTGCAAAATATATGCAACCATAACAAAAAAGTAATTTAATAGTACACACGTATATATATATACTCGTATATATATATATATATATATATATATATATATATATAGTGTGTTTTCTATTGCAACCATCAACTTAAACATCTTATAGCTTAATCCATTCGAGACAACGTTGTTCTGTTAATTTTTGATAAAGAATTTTGTAAGAGAAAAAGCATTCATGTAGCAACGCAAGTTAAAATGAAAATACATAGTTAATGATTGAGCATTAAACTGCCTATCACTCAAAAATTGTCACGTAAGACTGAAATTCTTAGATAAAGATAGTCAAAAGAAAAACGTATCATCTAAAGCTAAAAAATAGCCTGTTTTTTCTCTTAAACCCATTCGCGTTTACGTGTTAAAAAAAAACTTCGGATATTATTTACCAGTGTTTCCTCGCGAATTTCATTCAAGTCGCGAAAAATCTAAACCAAACTACAAACCAAACCAAAAAATCTAAATCAAACAACGTCTCCAATGGATTAATCGATATGAGGCAAATGTACATCGATTAGCAAACGCTTAATGATTTGTTAGTTTTATCTATAATATAATAAAAACCTTATTGATCCAAAAATATAGAAAATATTTCAAAAACATCTATGAATTAAGCAATAGGCGCATTAAAATCTAACTAATAATGCATATAAATTCTATTTCAAAAGTCTTAGTAAAACAAATTTATTGATTATCAAGCAAAATCGATTATTTTTATAAGCGGACCTAATTAATGAGATATTACAAAGAGCGCAAGTTAAAAAATATCGACGTTTAGAATTCACATGCTTTATTTCACTAACCTCATTACAAAGGCGGACGAGCGAGATATAATATTTCTAAAAATGATATGAATCAATAGCAGTATTTGACCTACAAATCCATGCATCAATTGAAAAATAATCAGAATATAAATTATATTCTTCAGAAAAAAAATTTTTGTATAAACTTCAATGTCAGAACTCTCTGGTGAAACAACACTCAAACATATTTTGTTCATTATTTTGCACATACAAAAGTGCCTGTTGGAAAATTCTAACTGAAGCCTGGTTAACAGTCGAACTTGAATAAAATATTTAAAATTTCTGCTCGACAAGTACTACTACCAGGTTTGTATTGATTAAAACAACAAAACATTGATTAATTCTATTGGTGAGGAATGACATATGTAGATGTAAAATTACTTCGTATAGTGTATTCCTAAATACTGGAAAATAACATACATTACTAGAAGAATCGAAACGTTTTTGAATATTTGACGCATTTATCTATGTCTTCGTTCCGTATAACATATATTTTTGGTGTAGATAATTTCTCGTTGTCTGAGAATCCTTGTGAAATATTAAATAATTCAATATATTTCAAATTTCATTCTGTACCGCATATACAAGCGAAAAAATAATCATAAAATCTCGATAAAATTTCATATAGGGGAGACTGGGTACGGTTGTACTATTTTTTTTATCAGCTATAATTTTGTTAATATACTAGTTAGCTGGGAGAAAAGTAAATTAAATGATAATTTGAATATTTGTCCGCGTGAAAATACTGAAATATTGTCGTTAAATACGATGAAATTGTCATAAAAACAAATCATACAAGGAAAGGGCGAGGGTCTCTCGGGTGTGGACGGTTGTGAAAGACATAAAAATAAGATAAAAAATAATAGCCATAGACACTAAAATAGTTAATAACGACTTTTATTATCGTTAACAACGATAATATGTAACACAACACATCATAAATATTTAAACATAGTTTATGAATAAACTATAACGATATATAATAAAACATTTTTTTAAGTTAAAAACCTTAGAATTATTTAAAAAAAAATCATCTCAATATCTATTTTTTTGACGAAGTTATAGATATATATATATATATATATATCTATATGTATGATCCTCTGAAATCGGTTTTTTCATCGCTTTGCGAGCTATTGTATGCCAATGCCAGCTGCTCTCTTTTTCATTATAATACTTCATGCACATGACCTTTTTAATGTATCAGCATCTTTGAACACCATGGTGTATTTAATACATTAAATTAAATGGTGTATTTAGTACATTATATTAAAAACTTTAAATACGTATTTCTCAAAATGACTTTTTTCAATGCGGTGCCACAAATTAAAAAAAACCTAGCGATGAAAAACCTGCAATACCTAGTCGGATGGACTTGCATTTTTTTTAAATTTGTTCACCACTGCAATACCTAGTCCCCTACATCAAACAACTTCATAACATTACGCAAAAAATTTTCGCGAAGCTTCTCGTCCCAAAAAAGGCCCTTTTTAACACTTTTTTTTTAAATAGCTGCCATTTTTTTCCTTCTTGCTTTTTTTCTTTCATTTTGGTAGGGGGACTGGATTCAAACTTCTTCAACGTAGTTTCTTTTTTTTGTTTCAGGCGATGCGCAACGGATTTATCTGTGGCACCGCAAAAGAGATCGATTTTGCAATGCCCGCTTTGGCGCCCCCTGGTTGAAAAATGACGGCGAAAAAAAAAAAATTGCTTAATATTCTATGATTTTGTTTAAAAAAACCGCATGTCTCTATGATAAATACATTTCGAGAAAAATACTTTGCATTTTTTGTAACAAAAAAACGAACAACCCCCTTAAAGAAAGTTAACTAGAATTATTTCTGAAATCTTTTTTTTATTGAATTTTCCTTTATATTTCTTTTTCGTATTTTGTCTTAGTTAAGTTAGATTTTTTTATCTGTTCAATCTTCATCAAAAAAGGCCACAACCACATGTCACAACCATATCCAACGCACACTTTTGGCAACAATTCATCGCTATGACTGAGCTAATTTATCTAATTGTTGAACTTACAGACTTCACAAAATTATAGACAAAGTGATCTATCTATATACAATTAACAGTTCTGATTGGAAAAATGCGAACATGAAAACTTGCGTTTGACTCTTTAAAAGCAAAGCGGCCTACTGATAAGGCACTGACAGAAAGCAATATTGCAAACTTCTTCGAAAAATCATACTCCATCTTTCTCTCTTCGGACCCTATCTCAAAATCAGTATAGTGTAGCAACTACAATGTCACTACCATACCGTGCCACAACTGTACCCAGTCTTTCCTACTATGCATTTTATGAAGTATATCTCCTAATGTATTCTATGAAGTTTATGAAATCGAATATATATTATATATTTTATACCCATAAAAGTAAAAAAGGGCAATAAATTCAATAAGCGAAGTGTGTGCATAATGAAATGACCCAAAATTTCATTACGCACATAATTAATTTGAAAGTAGATTTGTCTCATTTTAAATATATCTTAATAAGTAATACCATTTTATGAAAAAAATATATATCTATATTTTCAACGAAACGTTGTAAAGCGAAACCAAACGATATTTTAGCAGAGAAATCAAAATTGAAATCAGAACATTATCAGGCTGTCCATTTATTCGAAATGTCAAGTTCGAGTTAAAAAGGAATTTATGCGTGTTAGCGCTATTTTGAATATTAAGTTTCCGTTAATAACATAAGATAATTATTTTGCTGCGACAAATGATAGTTAGAGATGCTACATATTTAGATTATTGTAAATGCAGCGAATTACATATTTTAGCAGCATACAAAATTACTGATCAAAAAGTCATTTTTGAAATTAATTTATACATATAGTTACGAATTTTTATTCTGCGGCAAGTGACATATAAAAAATAGACTTTAATCCGAGGTAAAAGAATATTTTTTCAAGAAGTTGCTTTGATTTACAAGAAAATTCACTATTAATATGTTCACAAATCGAGATGAGCTTAGCAAATTTTTTAATATATCTGGGTGCACAATATTATTTAAAATAACAGTTAATGTGAAATATTTCTTAAACAGTGCTTGAAAATCATTGTACTGCAACTATTCGTTTTGCGTTGACTGAAACTTGCGCTCGACTAAATCTGACGTAGCTGCATACGTTTAGTTCGCGATTTTTGATAAATTCAACTGTGTTATTAGAGGTAAAATGTGAAAATCAATATTCAAATCAAATATTCAATACAAAAGAAACCAGACTGTTTCCGCATTGGAAAAGAATTGTCTCGGGCGGAAATAGAAATCAAAACGAGAATTTGAAAGATATATTAAATATGGGGTCCGATCACGCTAAGGGAGCTGTTTTCGGAAAGAGTATCAACATGTTAATTATATACAAAGACAATGACATATATATACATACATATATACATATATACATATACATACACATATACATATATATATATATATATATATATATATATATACATAACGATAAAGAAAATGACTATGACAACGTAATACACTATGACAAAATCAATGACAAAGACGAAGATAATTACAATAAATAACTATAATAATGACAACGATAACAACGATGAAAATAATAGTAACGAAAATAACGATAATGTAATTAATAAAGATAATTAAAATATGATATATATATATATATATATATATATATATATATATATGATAAAATTATTCTTGGGCATCCATCCAGTAATTAAAAACAGTTTTATTGAAAGAAAATGTTTTTATTAAGAAAACATACGTTTCGGGTCTTGATTTGACCTATCTTCAGTGCATACAAATAAATTGAAAAAAAAACACAAAAACACACAAAAATTGCACGAAAAAATTATGAAACACAAATTGATAAACATCGAGTTATGATAAATTTTAAATAATTGTAAAATTGAAATAAAAATAAAAATAAAAAATATATTTTATTATAAAAAGAAGCTTATTCCAAATGAAGCATGTTGTTAGCTTGGAGTTCTTAGAATTATCAAATAAATAAACCTCTAGCTTTATATATTATCTCGCTATATATATA